GAAGACAATAATAATGTGGCTTTCAGGCTGGCTTAGCTAGCTTGTTATTAGCCTCTCTATTCCGTTTACAGGCATGCATTGTATACTTGTGCGAACTATTTGTGCGTGTTTGATCGATGAATTGTGTGGTTGTGTTTGGTTTTGAAGGTTATCAAGTATTGGAATATAAGTGAAAATTGTTCGTCTTTGCTCTTCTGCTTAAACTTTCGGGTTGATATAGTTAGTGTGCACAACTCAATTAGTATATATAAGAGAGAGAGAGGTTTCATGATTGAATCCTAGTTGACATATAATTAAATAACTATTATCTCCAATTTAATATTATATAAGTTGTTTTGATTTTTTTTCTAAGTCAACTTCTTTATAATTGACTAAATTTATAAAAAATATACAATATCTTCAACACAAAATAAAGAAACTATCAAAACATATTGAATGTTAGATGTGATGAAACTAACATGATGTTATAAGTGTTGCTATAATTTTAATGAACTTAGTTAAAAGAAGTTTAACTAAAAGAAGAAGGTCAGAACAACTTATAATATAGGGGGAGTAGTAGGGTGGCCCACGTAGTTACGTGGCTAGCACCGAAGTTAAACTGTATCATGATGTAAAATTATCTACCTCCTCTATTTCACAATATAAGTCATTTTAGCATTTCTCATGTTCATATTGATGTTAATGAATCTAGATAGATATATATGTCTAGATTTATTAATATCAATAAGAATTTGGAAAATGTTAGAATGACTTACGTTTTGAAACGGAGGGAGTACATTGTTTTAACTTGATTTTTTTAAAAAAAACACAAATTAGAATATTCGAGTCGTTGGCTATATATAGACATTTTTCTATATACCCCATATCATCAATCATACTCCGTATCATACTGCATATATATAGACATATTTCTATAGGACAAAGTGAGCTTATATTGATTAAATAAATGATATGCTTGCTATGAAAAATAATAAATAAAGTGTTAGAATAGGTGTTGAATATACTAGTCCTATTTGATTACAGTTGGACCTAGAGTTGTAACAGATGTTAGTGGGTAGAGTTAGAATCGGACTCTGTAACCCGGTAACTCTCTTAAATAAAGAGGGAGGCGCCACAATGTAACCATGGCGACTACAATGTAACGTAGACACGCAGGGAGATGATGGCGGCGTGGCCATGGACTCGAAGCGCCTAGGAGCTATATTGGTTGGGGATGAGCGCCCATAATCAGAGCCCCAAGGATGTAAGCTTCGGCTGAACATCGTTAACAAATATCGTGTGTTCCTGTGTCGTCATCTGGCATGTCTTGGGTGATCAATGACTGAAGCGATCGGGAAGGTTAGTCGTCGTTCCGCTATATCGACTAACTTTTATAACATGTGGTATCAGAGCAGAAGGTTTCAGCATTGGATTACGAAGACATGTGGTAGAGGAAACACGAGGTGGGGATCGTGCATCGATAGGAGATCGTCAATCGTGGCGATGAGATCGATGGCAGAACGTGACTGGAAGACGAGGCCGAGCGTGGCCGAAGGCGTTCGGTGAGATCGGAGGGGTAGCGCCACGGACAGTGCGCCCGACGCACGCGGCGATCGCGGATCTGCGGCAACAGGGAGGCCAGTGACGGAAGGGTGAAGCTAACGAGCGTGGCACGGCACGGCGGATGTGGAAGGCCGAGACGATGAAGTCGAGGACGGTGAATACGAAGGCTGCGACTGCGGTGCGTGCGAGGGCACGAAACAGCATGTATGGAGTACGTGCTATACACGCACATATGCACACGTACGACGAGCAAGAAAATAACCACAGGGAGCACGATTGGTGTTCAGATGCAGAGACGAAGGCAGAAGCAGGGAGATGGCCAGGTTGGACTCGACTCGGACACGGGTTTTAGGAGCGGGGCAATTGATCTCGGCCAGTATGGCGTGTCCATTATGGATTGGACTCATCTAGCACTGGTTACTGGTTGAATCGGCAACGGTAATCGGCACGGCAAGACTCAAGCTTCAGTGAAGTCTCGGTGAACAAGCGATTCGTGACAGTAAGGCTTGATCCATGCCGCTTGGTTTGGATGGGCCCACGTGGTTGAGTTCGTAGGCATGCATGAAGGTTGTACGTTGAGTGGACACATGCATGCACAGTCAGCATGTAGTACATGTGAGGCCATTAAACAAGTACTCCCTCCGTAAATGTACGAAGCCGTTAACTTTTCGACCAACGTTTGAACATTCGTTTTATTCAAAATTTTTGTGTAAATATGAAAATATTTATGTCATACTTAAAGAACATTTGATGATGAATCAAGTCATAATAAAATAAATGATAATTACATAAATTTTTTGAATAAGACTAATGGTCAAACGTTGGAAAAAAAGTCAACGGCGTCATACATTAAAATATGGAGGTAGTACATCAATGTATGTAGCAAACAGCAACAAAGGTGCGGCTCAGTTTGAGAATGCAGCAAGGCGTGTGTATGACGGTTAAACTGGGCCGGTAGGGTGGTCAGACCGATGAACTGGTTAGACTGCGGAGCTTGTACGGTTAGACCGGGTTCAACGGATAGTGGTTCGTTGCTGGAACTTGTTAACAGATCTAGAAAAAGGACAAGAAGGTTCTACAGATGGATAGTTTACAGGTGTGAAGGGCGAGTAGACTAGCGACAACAGGCTAGTCAGGTCGCATATGAAATTATCTGGTGAAAACATGATATATGTGGAACTTGATGAGGAGTTGAGATATATGGAGTTAGTCCAGAACTGAAGAAAAGTCCCGGGCAACAGCGGGTGAAAATCGTTAAGGGCGTCAACGGGCTGTTTGGCAGTACAGGATATATCCAGGATCTGCCGGGATTGCATGATAGGGATATATGGAATCTGCGTCACTGAAGAGTAAGAGCAAGCGCTATGGTGGTAATTTCTTCGGATGATTCAAAGCAACAGTGATTTTCTCAAATTATCGGATATTCAGTCTACGGATGCGGGAAAGCGAGGATGTTGAATTCGTTAGCTCGGTTCATAAGACAACAAGGAAGAAAAGGTTCTTTTCATGTCTAGCGAGTTTTTGATTTATCTATTTGGTGATGACATCGGTTATCTGGCCATGGATTAGATCAAGTCAAATCAAAGACGGAAGATGAAGGTGAACATGGTCTTCGAGGAGTCTGTGATGTGACAGCTAAGGAGGAGTTCAATTTCGCTTGGCAAGACGACTGTAATGATATGAGAGAAAGTGGAGCACTATTGTAGCTGGAGTCCAGAGGAATAAATTACAGGGATAGCAAAGTCTCTTAAAGGTGGCGGGTTTGGTGCAGGCTCGTCGGGCGGCTTACGGTGAAGCTGCAAAAGAAGACAACCCAAATCTGGAGGATAGGTGGATCGGCATGGTGATTCTACAACTTCTAGGTGGCGTATATTCGCCAAGGTGGAGTTTGTTAAAATAGGTGTCAAATATACTTGTCCTATTTGGTTACAATTGGACTTGAAGTTGTAATAGGTGTTAGGGGGTAGAGTTAGAGTCGGGACTTTGTAACCCGATAACACTCTTATATAGAGAGGGAGGCACCACAATGTAATCATAGCGACTACAATGTAGCGTAGACAGGCAGGGAGATGATAGCGGCGTGGCCATGGACTCGTAGCGGCTAGGAGCTATATTGGTTGGGGAGGAGCGCCCATAACCAGAGCCCCGGAGATGTAGGCTTCGGCTGAACCTCATTAATAAATATCGTGTATTTCTGTGTCATCATATGTCATATCTTGGGTGATCAATGAGTGAAGCGATCAGAAAAGTTAGTCGTCGTTCCGCTATATCGACTAACTTTTATACCATAAAGTGACTAACAATTTTCCTGTTTTGCCTCTATAATGATCGAGTATCTCCGACAGACTCATTATGCTACACCACTAAATTACGATTTTATAAAAAAAAATCATTCCTATATGTGTATAGTTTTTAGAAATCCTGACCGGCCGCCACCATCTTTCTACTCACCTGTACCATGTCCTCCATCTTTATTTCTATTGTTGCCTCTCAAATCGCCTTGCAATACCGTTGTACTTCCCTACCCCTTTACCACCCCTCAACTCGATTGTTCACCGTTACTCTTCTTTAGGCACATTATAAAATCAAATCTTACCATTATATCGTGGCTTTGCTTATATATAGTTTTAGAAGCTGTCAAGGGAAATGGGTTCCGAACCCTTAGTTTCAAACACAGCCAATTCACTTATGGCTGGTTTGGTTTGTCGTCTAAATTGGCCTTACAAATTTTATCAATGTCAAATTTTGACATGGTTAATTTTAGCAAGGCAAAGTTATGTTTGGATTGAAGTCAAAATAGTCTAAGTTAACTATTGAAATGGCCTATTTTCTTAGGCATGCTAAAATTTGGCTCCAAACTAAATAGACACTAAACACTATTGAAATTATCAAATATTGGTAAGATCAATTTAGACCTCAAACCAAACCAACCCTTATATTCTACGTTTGAGATGGGAGTGTTGGTATATGTGTGATTTTCTGATGTCCAGAGTGACTGGAGTTAGCTTTGTCTGGTTAGAACTTAGGAGCAGGACCAAGATCAGGAAGAAATTAATTTTTACGGAATTTGAAGTTCGCAAAGAGATTATTATGGAAGGACAGAATAATGAAATTGCAAAAAATAAAAAAAATAGAAAAAAGATGAAGGGGCAGGCCTTCACCCCATGGTTGGGCGCGATAGAAGAAGTGGCCCAGAAGAGAGACGGTCCACGGCCCATCCGGGGGAGCAACCTGGATCAAGGAGCAGACAGCCCAGCCCAGGCCGGGACAGCTCGGAGTCAGAGCAGAGTGCGCGCGAATTCACTCGTAAATCTGATTTTTTTTTTCTTTTTATTTTTTTTTGAGAAAACTTGTAGTAAATCTGAATTGCTTTGCACGCTAGCGATCATATTCATACGCAGATACGCCGGTCATCACTCATCACCATCAACATTTTGAAATAGATGCACAACGTAAAATCAACAAACAAAATATAGTAGTACTGCTCACAGTTTTATTCATCAGAAACATGAAATGATCGTACAAGCCACACGTAGAACCACAGCAAAATAAATCAACAAATCGAAACAACAAAACGGTAAGAAATTATTCCACCGCATAATCAATCCCCACTAACCACACCATTTCTAGAAGATAAAACCCAAGTCCCATAAATCAAAACAAGCAATAATGTGGATGGTTGCATCCGATTGAACAAAAAGTTAAAGTTGTTCTGAATTCTGATACTTCTGAATCATCATTTTAATTAGTTGACCACCCTGCAGTTCTTCCTGATCTCGCCCTGGTAGCCGTTTTTGACGTCGACGGCGGCCATCTTGACGAACGCCTTCTTGAACCTGTCCTCCCACCACCCGGGGATGTTGGCGTTGTCCGACACCATCTTCGCCGTCGCCGGCGAGGTCAGCAGCGCCGCGTCCGACGTGAAGAGCACCTTGTGGGCAATGACGTTCTTGTAGTACTGGTTGTCGAACGCGTTGGGGGTGACGACATCCTGGTTCACGGTGGGGTCGTGCGCCGTGGTCGGGTTGGCGGGGCACCTCCTCCTGAGGAGCCCGGCGAAGCCGCCGTCGATGTCGGAGGCGACGGCGAGGCGGTCGGGGACGAAGGAGGAGCAGTGGGAGCGGCCGACGGTGTGGGCGCCGGAGAGCACCACCATGTCCTCGGCGTCGAGGCCCTTGGTGGCGAAGATGTCGACGAGCTCGGTGACGTTGAAGAAGGGCGGGGGGAGGTTGTCGAGGGCGTCGGAGGAGTTGGAGTGGCGGCCGTCGAAGCGGCCCGCCGGCATGTTGATCTTGACCCTCATCCTGCTGAGGAAGTAGGCGGCGTCGCGGGCGGCGAAGGCGACGATGTCGGCGCAGGAGACGACGCCCGGGCAGGCCTTCTCGACGGCGTCCTTGGCGGCGTCGATCACCTCGAAGCCGCGGAGGCTGGGGAAGTTGGGCGGGCTCAGCTTCTCCGGGGCTGGGTTCGCCGGAGTTGGGTCCAGGAGCACCGAGCCATCACATCCCTGTAAAATATACATGCAGATGTGGCGCGTCAAGCTCACTGATATGCAAATATGTACAATTTTTCTTTGGTTTGTTAATACATTTTGTAGTGCAAAATTTAGTACTCCCTCCGTATTTTAATGTATGACACCGTTGACTTTTCGAACAACGTTTAACCACTCGTATTATTCAAAATTTTTATGCAAATATAAAAATACTTATGTCATGCTTAAAGAACATTTGATGATAAATCAAGTCACAATAAAATAAATTATAATTACATAAATTTTTTTAATAAGACGAAAGGTCAAACGTCTATCAAAAAGTTAACGGCGTCATATATTAAAATACGGAGGGAGTAACTTTTCAGTGTTTAGGTACTAAGTTAATTACCAAAACTAATTTAAATAAAATTTGTTTAAATTTCAATTGGTCCTACATTACCGAAAGCTTAAGTCTACCGCTGCTTAAATTTTTTTTTTCAAGGGGTTTTCCAAAATAGAAAAGTTGGCCAGAGGTATCTCAAATTAATTAACCAAATATTATATCTTTCAGTACCTCCTCAACAATCATAAAATTATTTTTACTCAAAAAGATACGAGTATTTTTAATGAACCGTAAGAAAATTTTGGGAATTATCACATTAATATAAAAAAATTGTCATTTCATAATAACTCGGGTACCAGAGGGGCGGCATGACAATTCACATTTATAGAACAAAAATATTTCTGGTACTCGAACCGTAAATTTCAAAAAAATATAAATGCAGCTGCCCATATATCTTGCTATAGGTTCAGCCATGTATGTACCTCGACGAAGCAGTCATGGAAGAGCAAGCGGATGAGGCCGGCGCCGATGCCGGCGTTCTTGTAGACGAACTTCTTCACCTCCTCCCTCACGATGGTCTCAACGCGGGGGCACGACTTCTTGTAGTAGCCAACCTCCAAGCCACTGCACGCGGCTGCAAGGAGCAGCGTGCAAGTCACCGCGACGGCGAGCTTAATTGTGTGTGCAGCCATTAGCGCGCAGCTCTTGGTAATCAGTTCTTGCTGCTGCTGCTTAATCTGCTAATTAAAGAGCTAGCTCGCTAAGATGAGGGTGATGGTGTGTTAGTATGTAGTAATGATGGGTATTTATAGGTGTGATGCATGTGCATGATGGTTATATGCATTATCCGGACTAAGTCTTGGGGCATTCATAGTTACTTAATTGAACTCATCAATGAATGATGGAGTATAATTATTATATGGGAGATAATAGCTGTGTTTATGAACATGGAAGCCATAATCCAACTACAAACTGGGTAAAGCATTGAGCAGAGTATATATGCTTTGGAGTAAAGTGTACCTAGCTAGATATTGCTCTCCCCTACTGTTTTATTTTCTTTTTCTTCTGGAGGTCCGTCACTACATAAATATGTGGAGGAGTAGAACCTTTTTTTTAAGACAGTTTAAAAGAAATCAACAGACTAATTAAGCCAGCTACTCCATTTTAATTGTGTCCTGCTTTGAACAGTGATTGTGCAGCTAGATACTACAATATTCTTTATGGGCATAAATACTCCAGTAAAACAATCAACAAAACTGCTGATGAATTCTTTAATACTCCTTCTGTCCCTAAATATAAAAGATTTTTGGTGTATGTGACACTTCCTACTTCCTAGCGCAATGAATCTGGAGAGGGAGTCTGTCTAGATTTATTGTATTAGGATATGTCATATCCACTCAAAATCCCTTATATTTTGGACGAAGTGAGTACTTCACTCGAGATATTTAGCTGAAAATACTCTACCAGGCTTTGTGCGGGAATACTCTACAATTAACCCTTCACATATATACATACCTCCCACAATGCACATTCTCATCTAGTTAACTAAATGGTTATAAAGTTTCATTGCATGAGTTTTTTTTGTTTTTTTTTTCGGTGGTCATTGCATGAGTTGCTGGGCTGATATGAGGTTCAATTAATCGATCTGTACGCAGAGCAGGTCAGTTTATTGTTCTTAGCTGAATGTTAGGGCATGTTCAACAATATATACATAGCTAGGCTGTCACTTTGCAAATTGCCATATCATATAAGATCCTAGATGGCATATAGAGGGTAAAGAGAGAATGTACCATCAATTATACAAGAGACGACCCGGGCAAAAAAAAGTCAACATACAGCAATGAGGATTGTGAGGGGTGGATGTGATAGATAAAATAATACTGAATTATAATTAATGGCAACGGGATGATAAAGAATAACTACTGGAAATAATAATGTTACAATGTAGCTAAGATTTTTCACTCCGATCCCTTTCATCACTTATAATTGTTGGTTTTGATAAGAGGTAGACAAACTTTGAGCGCTACTTTTTAAGTCATATGAAAGTGAATAGATTTCAACATAATATGCATTAGTAAGTTAGTTTCAATTATAGTTTGAGGCTAAATAGTTAGATTATTTTAAAAATAGTTGGTCAAATTAAGCAAGATAACTCAAAATCAAAAGCGATCTATTTGTAAATGGAGCGAGTATATTCCTATAAGCTAAGAACGTTGTCTCTTGGTACTTGGTAGTATCTAGTAGTGAGAAATAAAAGTAATAAGGCCGCATTCGGGAGGTAGAGTTTGGAACTCTATATCCCCGCACGAAAAACATGATGGTTTATTAATATTCGAAAATGGATTAATATGATTTTTAAAGCAACTTTCGTATAAAAATTTTTTTAAAAAAAATATCGTTTAGTAGTTTGAAAAGCATGCGCGTGGAAAAGGAGGGAAGTGATGAGAAAGTAGACAAAAGAAACTCAACCTAAGTTGTGGCAACTTGCATATAATTAATAGTAGAAGCATATTATACACATTGTTAATTTGATCTCTTGCAAGTCAATTTGCGGCAGGTCGTGGTTGTCACCAACATTCCCTAGCTTAGCTTTCTGACTTGGCAACATTCATGTTCCGATATTAATTAGCTAATGCCAAAGCTTGTGGCGTATAGTACTCCCTTCTCGATTCGTCCTGTCTTTTTATCTTAAAATTTTCTCTCACGAACTCTGTATTTTAGATTCGTAGCCATCAAACGAGTAGGGCTCCGTCCTCTCTCATTTTCTCTCCACATAACGAAGATTATGAAAGTCTTTTAATCGCTTGCTTAATTAGATGCCTTTGACACTTTATGAGACAATAGCTTTTTAGGAACGGAGGGAGTAGGGTGCTATAGAAAATTGGGTGCTTTAGTTTTCACGTAGTGGCCCCTTCACTTTTGAATAATGACATGATACCCATTTCGTCCTTCCTAACCTTCGCTAAGATGTTTGGTCTCAAAATCAATAACTCATTGTTCCAATATGGCATAAACGAAGGAAAACAGATGAGAATCACTTTATATATTTAGAATGATAAGAAAAGTAGTTTGCATGTCAAGAGTCAAGACACAATTAACATAAAACTAGATGATAACCCCATGTACCGAAATGCTAAATATGTGGAAAAATATATTTTTTAATCCATAAGAAAAATAACAAGTCTACTTTAAATATGGCAAGACATATATCATCTGCCTGGATGTTACAATGCAAGGACAAGCACATATAAATAATCAGTGAATAGAAGTTATAATCCAGTTGACTTTGAAGAGTTTCTCTCAGTGAGCATAAGAAGCAGCTCCATTTTTTTTCTCTTTTTTGAAAGAACAAGTGGCTCCAAATTGCAGTAGAACAACGGTACAAGATCAGGTCAATGAAATGCCTGCGGCTGTTGGCATTGTGTATGAGCTCAAAATGGGTCTAGAACTCAGCCCGCTTTCTCATCTTCTCTGGAAAAGGAAGGCCTTCTTGGGTAGGGGAGTCTATTTTGCCTTCTCTCATATCTTTCTCCTGATTGAATCACCTCTCTCACCCACAAAACTAGCTATAACACCTCTCATCTTCGAAAACCGGTGTAAATCGACTTCTTTAATAGTTTGGGAAGTGGTTTCTGTTGACGTGATAGGTTGACTGATGTTGACTTGCTGAGTTAGCGGGAGGAACCAACTTATCATCGACTTCTCATCAAATCTTCTTCCTCACCCCTCTTCCTTCTCTCTATCTCTTTCCTCTCTTTGCTCTTCCTCCTCTTTCACCTTCCAGCAGTAGTAGAGGCAGGGAGGGTGGTGGCGGTGGCCAGTCGGACCTGAGGAGGGCGGCTTGGCGAGTCGGACCTGAGGCTGAGGACCCAGGCGGCGCTCCGCGTCGTGGAAGGCGGTGGTTTCATACGGCTTGCACTACCGTCGCTACGGTGGAACTTGGGCTCCACCACCAGCTGCTGCTGCTGACCACCATGATTCCATCGCCGCCGCCCATGGGAGCTCATCCATCTCGTGTCTCATTGCTTGACAAGAAAAAGAGGGAAAGAAGAGGGAGAGCTAAGCCTTGCCACGGACGGTAGGAGTGACGAAGATGTTGCTGTTGTTGTCACTCACCCCGCTACCACCACCACTCCATCAAACGCCGACCGAAGATCTTCTAGCCACATTGCAATGGGAGACATCCCGGCCGAAGCTCTCTTCTTCCCGAAGCTCTGCCAATGCCCTCACCAGCTGCGGGCACCACCTTGCTCCTCCCATGGGATACCCTCCGCACGTGTTCCACCGTTGCCAACTAACGGGGTGACGAGGTCTTGCCAGTGGCTGATTTAGTCATGCAGAGGGAGGGGAAAAGGAAGGGAGGAGAGGGATGGCGTGGTTGCCGTCGGCGTCTTGTTGCTTGGGGCCTCGGCCTTGCTGAGCTCCCATCATTGCCTAGCGAGAGAGATATGGAGAAGGAGAGATAGGGAGGGGGTGGTGAGGAAGAAAATGAAATGAGGAGGAAGTCATTGATATATGGGCCCCACCTGTTGAATGAGCGAGTCAACCAGTAATATCCGTAGAAACCACTTCCTAAACCACCGGAAGAGTCAATTTGCACTGGTTTTTAAAGATAGGGGTGATGTTATACCTAGTTTTATGGTTAAGGGAGGTAAGGGTGGGTAGAATAAGACTGAACCAAAGAACCGAACCGAAAAGACCGAGACCGAGAAATTCAGTTAGTAATTCGGTCTCAGCCTGTCAAAGACCGAAATTTGTTCGGGTAATTCGGTCATTGGGCTCGATTAACCGAATTAACTGAGAAAACCGAATTGTGCCCCAATAGGTACAGGAGGCTCAATAAGTCCAATACACCACTGAACCTTAGAGGTCACCCGCTCCAACCCACATCCCCATCCATCCTCATCGCGCCGCCCTCCACATCCCCATCCATCCCGCGCCGCCTCCGCCTCTGCCTCCGCCTCCATCGCGCCACGCTGCTGCCTCCACCTCCATCGCGCTGCGCCGCTGCCTCCGCCCTCCGCCCTCCACCCTCCACATCCCCATCCATCCCGCGGCGCCTCCACCTCCGTCTCCATTGCGCCGCGCCGCCGCCTCCGCCCCGGCCACCGGCCTCCGCCCTTCGCCTCCATCTCACCGGCGCCGTCTCCACCTTCCGCCTCCATCGTGCCACACAGCCTCGCCGGTCGCACCGGCCACCGGATCCATCCTCCACCTCCACCATGACGCGTCGGCACCACCGTACTCCCACCGACCACCGCCGCATCAGCGTGTGCCGCTTCCAGCCGACCCCACCTTGGCGCCTCCGTCTCCAGCCAGCGCACCTCCACCTCGGCTCATCCAAATTCGGTCAGACCAAGACCGAGAACGAAAAAGCCAAGACCGAATTTACCGGTCCTGACTTTTTTTGGATGAAATTCGATCCTGACTTTTCAAAAACTGAAATGACCGAAAGACCAAAAACCGAGACCGAAATTTTCGGTTAGACCGAACGCCCACCCCTAAAGGGAGGCAATTCAATCTGGAGCAAGATATGAGGGACGCAAAATAGACTTATTCCAAATAGAAAAGCAGAATGACTAATGTACTGGGCTGGTTCACAATGCTGGGCTATACTGTACGGACTATGGTGGATGCAGACTGAGCTTGGAAAAAAAAAACGCACCAATTTAGCCATTTAAGGCAATTCCAGGATCGAGCCTGCCCTGCAGCCACTTTGTTTCAGAAGCAGGGGAAAAACAGAGGCTCTTCTGCAACAGATGAAAGGACCAACCATGGGGCAGGTTAAATCAGTTGGTTCAGTTTCAAATAATTGTCTGCTTATTAATCGATGAAATCCAAGTGTTCAATCAGAAATCACCCACGCGCATCATTGCGTGAAAAAAACTCCAACTTATCGAGCCTTCTTGTGTCGCCCCTCCCCCACGGGTGACCGGGAGGCGACGACCTCGCCGGCGCTCGTCTCCCCCTTCCCTCCTCCTCTGCCTCGCCGCCGCCCAGCATGGGAGGAGGACCTGCTCGGACGAAGACCTGCGAGGACGAGGAGGGAAGGGGGACGGCGGCGGGGCTTCGTCCTCGCGCTCGGGCATGGGAGGAGGACCTGCTCGGGGGCGTTGGAACCGGCCAGATCCGTGCCGCCCAGCCGGATCTGGCGGTGGACCAGCCGACGGCGGGGCTGAGCGGTGTGGCGGCGATGTCTGGTGGTGGTGGCAGCGGCGTCGAGGCGTTGGCGGCGGCGAAGGAAACCACCGGATCTGCGCCTGGACGGCGGCTGGCGGGACGGTGGCCGGCGGCGGCGTCTGGTGGCAGGGATGGCGATGACGGCAAGGGCAGCGAGGGGATGGCGTCGGTGAGGTGAACCTGGCCGCGCCGGCGGCAGATCTAGCGCCCGGAGGTCTGGCGGTCGCGACGGTGGTGGCGACGAGTTCACGGCGACGGCGGCGCGGGCTACCACGGCGGGCCGTCTGTGCCGTGTGTCGTCGGAGCTCGACGACGGCGACAAGGTGCGGGAGGATGGCGAGATGGCGGCAGGGATGGAAGGGCAGCAGTGGCTGTGGTTGTGGCGGTGGAGGTGGCGAGGGGATGGTGTCGGTGAGGCGAACCTGGCCACGCCGGTGGCGGATCCAGCGCTGGAGGAGTCTGGTGGTCGCGATGATGGTGGCGACGAGTTCGCGGCGACGGTGGCTCGGGCTACCATGGTGGGTGGTCTGCGTCGTGTGCTGTCGAAGCTCGACGACGGCGAGAAAGGGCGAGAGGATGGTGAGATGGCGGCGGGGATGGAAGGGCAGCAGCGGCTGTGGTGGTGGCGACCGTCACAACGGTAGGGGGGGCATGGCAATCTCAGACGGCTAGCCAGGGGCGTGGCAGACTTCCGCATCCGGCCGGCGCAGTAGTGTTTGGAGGAGGGGTTGGAGGCCGGCTTGGCGCAGAGAGGCGCAGCCGATGGCAGCGGAGGCCGGCTCGACGCGAGAGGCGCGAGCGGTGGAGATGGAGGCTGGCTTGGCGCGAGAGACGTGGCCGATGGAGGGAGGCCGGATTGACGCGAGAGGTGCGTCGGGTGGAGGAGGCCGGCTTGACGCGAGAGGCGCGACCGGCGGTGGAGGAGGCGACCTCTGCGCGAGGAGCTGCCGGTGGATGTGGGTGGTCTTTGGCGCACGAAGGCTGGCCCGCGGGGAGCGCCGGTGTAGTGGTTCCACATGGCGGCAGAGGTTGAGGGGTGGTGGATTGCTGGTCTAGCGGCGGCTGGTCCGGTGCTAGTCTTCTCCCGGGCTTGTGTGTTGGCGCTGTCAGCGTGTGGGTGGTGGTTTATTTTTTCTTTTTTCTTGGTTACGACCCTCCAGGTTGTAATATTATAATTTTTTCCTGCTCTATCAATAGATTTTCGTACCGTCTTGTGCGAGTTGTTCAAAAAAAATCAGAAATCACTGAAGCAGAAGCCCTGTGCATCATCTGACATGTTACAGCTAAAATGTTTGGAAGTCACTGTCTCTGTTAGCCTGTAAGCCTGTGTTTTAGGACGAAGATGAACTGATGTAACAACGATTCCAGCAGATATTTCTCTCAATGGAGTAGTAATGATTTACAAGACTAATCCCCCACAAAGAGAAGATTCAAACAAAATTTACAAGAGAGACAAAGTTCCTACAACACACTGACTCTGCGTAGCAACTGAAAAATCTTGCCAATCAGTGCCCTGCCCATGCACGGTGGTGGCGAGGATGTCGGCGTGCGGCGGCGCGCCGCCCTTTGTTCAGCAGGACGGCTGCATCGGCGGCGGAGGAGGACACCACAGCTTCCTGAGGAACGCGTCGCTGTCGCGGAGCTCCCCCCACCGCCGCCTCATGCCGCGCGACGTGCGGCAGTAGGCCGCCCTGCTGATGTCCTTCCACGACCGCTCGCCGTCGCCGTCGCGCTTGAGGAGGAGGCGGGCGAGCTCGGCGTCGTCGTCGGCGGTGAAGGGGCGGTGGTACACGTCGCGGGCGAGGTGGTCGCGCCACCTGTCGCGGCACTGCCCGGGCGAGCGGCGGGGGCGGCGCCCCGAGCGCGCCGCCGCCATGCCCTCGGCGACGCGGCGCCAGTGGCGGAAGCCGTTCTCCGCGGCGAGGCGCGCCAGGCACGCGTCCTCCTCGGGCATCCACGCCGGCGGGATCCTGATGCGGAGGACGATGCGCTTCCCGCCGCTCGTCGGGCTCGCCGCCGCCGCCGCCGCCTCCGCGGAAGACGGGAAAGCGGCCGAGGCGGGAGGTTGCCCTGCTGCTTCTTGCTCCATGCCTTGCAACGCCATCGCGACGATGATGACGTCGATCTTCTTCTCCGTTGCTGGTTGCTGATCGATCGATGGGTGGAAATGACAGAATTCGGAGCGCACGCACGCTGCTACTTATGGTGATGGTTACATGATCCGACTCGGAGTCTTCCTTCGTTTCATTCTTCACCCAAAAAAAGAACGCCACTCTGCGCGCCAAATTCAAATGTCCGACTCCGACTAGTATTCCAATTACTCAAGGCATTGCAAACACACACAAATCTAACACTAGGTTTACCAATAAAAAAGAGATGAGGCTTGTATTAATTATTATGAGAGATGAATTTATTCAAGTACAGTTCATTGTCATGGTGGTTTTAGAGGGATAATGCAAGCCGTACCAACGGCCAAAAGAACCAAGAAATGTAGTACGTCATGTCGAATCGATCAGAAGAACAAAGTCCTGGAAAACAAACGAATGAACGTATAGATCGATGGGTTTGCATTAGTCGGATTGACCCGATGATGATTAGTTGACGACCCTGCAGTGCCTCCTGATCTCGCCGGGGTAGCCGGTCTTGACACCGACGGATGCCATCTTGACGAACGCCTTGGCGAACTTGTCCTCCCACCACCCCGGGATGTTGGCGTTGTCCGACACCATCTTCGCCGTCGCCGGCGACGTCAGCAGCGCCGCGTCCGACGCGAAGAGCACCTTGTGCGCCACCACGTTCTTGTAGTACTGGTTGTCGAACGCGTTGGGCGTGACGGCGTCCTGGTTCACCGTCGGGTCGTTGCTGGAGGTCGGGTTGGCCGGGCACCTCTGCTTGAGGAAGTTGGCGAAGCCGCCGTTGATGTCGGAGGGCGCGGCGACGCGGTCCGAGACGAAGGAGGAGCAGTGGGAGCGGCCGACGGTGTGGGCGCCGGAGAGCACCACCATGTCCTCGGCGTCGAGGCCCTTGGCGGCGAACGCGCCGATGAGCTGGTTCACGTTGAAGTTGGGCGGCGGCAGGTTGTTGAGGGCGTCGGAGTCGAGGGAGCGGCGGCCATCGAGGCGTCCACCTGGGACGTTGATCTTGACCCTGAATCTGCTGAGGAAGTAGGCGGCGTCGCGGGCGGCGAAGGCGACGATGTCGGCGCACGAGACCACGCCGGGGCAGACCTTCTCGACGGCGTCCTTGGCGGCGTCGATCACCTCGAAGCCGCGGAGGCTGGGCATGTTGGGCGGGCTGAGCTTCTCCGGCTTCGGGTTCGCCGGAGTTGGGTCCAGGAGCACCGAGCCATCACATCCCTATCAACAAACACATACATGCATATGATGATCTGTCACGCTCACATTGATCTCATCTCACTGCCGCCATGGATTGCAAATTTGTGATTCAGAAATGCAATGCGACATACCTCGACGAAGCAGTCGTGGAAGACGAGGCGGATGAGTCCGGCGCCGATGCCGGCGTCCTTGTAGACGAACTTCTTCACCTCGTCCCTCACGATGGCCTCCACGCGGGGGCACGACTGCTTGTAGTAGCCCAGCTGCAGGCCGTGGCACGCCGACGCGAGCGCCAGCGCGCACGCCACCGCCACGGCGAGCTTCATGCCCGATGCTGCCATTGCTCGTTTCAGCTCCTGCTGCTTTTGCTCTGAGATGATGATGTGATTGTTGGCGTGAGATGGATGAAGTTGACACGCTAAATCGAATGGATATTTATAGATGGAGAGATCGATTTAATTATATGGCGTAGCTAAGGAACGATGGCGGATTCGATGTTGCTACTGCGATTCGTTAGATTGGCACACGGCGTATGGAGAGAAATCGATCAATCATTGGTGATGAGAAATCTTAGCTGGCATGAACATGGCTGTGCCCACAGTTAACGAACTAGCTAGCTAGCTGCGCGCGCGCGGCTTCTTGATTTGATATTCTGCATGGATGGAGCCTATTCTCTCTTTGTGAACTGTACTGATTTTCCTTTGCCTCTTCCAGAGAAAGTGCCATCGCATGATTTGTTGCAGGGAAGTCCACTTGCTTGTTGTTTTCTTAGAATTGAGCTGTGTAGCATTGCTCATTATTTGATTTGATTATAAATTGAGTCAAAATAGTCATATACTCTTTAATTTTTTTTTAGAATGGAGCTGTAGCATTGCTCAATGTTGGATTCATAAAGTCAAAATATCCATATGATCAATAGTTTTCTTTTGCCACCTCTCAGTCAATATTCGGGAGGAGAGGTTCCCTATGCAAGTAAAACGGGGTTATTTTTTAGCACATGATTAATTAAGTATTAGCTTAAAAAAAACTTTAAAAATAGATTAATATGATTTTTTACAACAACTTTCTAATAGAATTGTTTTTAAACCACATTGTTTACTAGTTCGAAAAGTGTGCATGCGAGAAACGAAGAAGCGAAGGTTGGGAGCCTCGAGTTGAGAACAAAACCTTATAGTAGCACTAGTACAGAATTCATTTTTGTGGACGAGCCCCTCGTTAAATTTCAGACGGTCCATAACTGACCCGTCTGGAAAAAATTGTCCTCCCATTTTTCCGTGCGGACCCTTAATAGGATCGCACACGAAAATCGATTTCGCATGCGGGCATGTTAAGACTACCGCATGCGTAAATACCCTCCCTCCCTTTTCCCTCTCAACATTTCAAAAAATTCCATCCATCCCCTCCAACTCTCTCACCTCTTATCCTTATCCTTACCCTCATCCTTTTTCCTCACCCCATCACCCCACCTCTCTCTCCTCTCCTCTCATGCGGTGGCAGGCGGGCGCGATGGCTCAGTGACGGTGCCCGACGGGAGGAGCGGGGCCCTAATCGCCCCCACCACCGCCGACGAGGTGGCCGGGAGTGGCGCTGTTGGCCCCGCGCGAATCCGCGCCGCCCCCGCCGACAAGGAGGAGGTGGCCGGAGCGGAGGCGGACGGCGGCTGTCCCCGCGACCTCTCCGCTGCCCGGATCCGGCGGCGGCGCCCGTCTCCCGCCCTCCCCCGCCTGGATCTAGCGGCGGCACCCCTCTCCCGCCCTCCCCCGCGTGACGGCGGCAACGAGACGAGCGGCGGTGGCGACGGCTACGAAGACGACGAGCTGCGGCGGCAGCCAGCCCCACCGATGAGGACGAGGAGGAGGAGGTGGCCAGGAGCGCCGCCGCCGCCAGATTTAGGGTTTTCATTTTTTTTTTGGATTTTTGTTTTTCCGTGCGGGCCACATAAAGCACCCGCACACGAAAATATAATTTTCACGTCAAAAATAACGATTTTTGCATACACCTAGGTGGGTGCGGTTCGCCTACCCGCATGCGAAAATCCTTTTGGACCGCACGGGAAAACCGTTTTCGTAGTAGTGTAATTAGAATTCTATATTTTTCTCTAAAATATAAGCAAACTGATTCATCTAACTATCAACTATGCAATCACATGTCCAGATCTCTAGGAATTTTTAGAGTTAAGAATACTCAGTTTAAAAGAATCTTGGATGTGAATTTGTTTCAAACAAACCAGTCCAAAAGAATCTTGGATGTGAAGTTGTTTCAAACAGACCAGTCTGCAGGCAGTGAGCTGAATTGCTAAAAGGCTTATTTCTCGGGAAAAGTCATAAAAATAAAATGACTAATAAAATTTAGTTTCAAAAATAAAAAAATTGAAACCAATTTAACTAGTTCCCCGTTTGAGTTAACATTTGTTTGGTCCAAAACCGCTAAATTAGATCTACGACGACCCCAGTTTCTGGAATGTTTCATTTATTATGGTCAGATAGGGATTAATTATTAGCTAATGCCGAGTACGATTAAGATAAGGGCAGATTTCACTATCTAAAAAAAGAGGAAAAGACGAGAGAGCAGGTCGTCGAAGCTTGTGTGCTCTATTCTAGTTTATACCTGGCATTGCAACCAACATTCATTCCAAGCTGGGATTCGATCATTCATTTCTTGGGCCGTACGAAGGGCAGTCGCCTGCCTACCCCTCCTTCGCATGTGGTCTTGTAAATCAGGAGATAGATCGTTAGCTAATCCCTGCTTAAAATAATTCTGCATGTACCTAGGGAACGTGTCCTCCACAAGCTATTTTTTTAAAGAGAATTTAGTCCTTCACGTTTGGTTATTACCTTGTTAATTCATCCGTCCATCTTATTTAAAGTGTAGTTATGGTTTTCCATGTTCAACGTTTGACCGCTTATATTATTTAAAATTTTTCTGTGATTAGCATTTTTCTCTATTAGATAATAAAATAAAAATATTATTTTATACGTAATTTATTTTTAAATTTTTTAATAAGACGAACAGTTAAATTTAGACATGAATACCCACAGTAGGTCGAAATCTTCATCGTATTCACCAAACCACCACGTGGACAAGCTGAGGCTAAGCACATGCACGCCAGGACAACATTGAATCAAGGATTCAATCAATGCAAAGATATGGAGTACTTGTCACATTTTGCAGTCTCTTTTGGAAACGGGCCGGATACAGCAGGGGTGCTTTTTTCTCACTTGAACCGTAATCCGGCAAAATATAAAAAGATTTGCTGGGAAAAAATAATAATAAAGATTAGATTTCATAAAAATCATTCGAGTTAAGAAAACCATGGAAAATTTGACGTGTGCCACAGATCCGACAGGTGGATATGTAGCGTAACTACGCAAAATCTCACTCTGTACAGATTTTAGTTTATGCTAACATGCATGTTGGACCACTTTGCAATATGACGTGGCCTAATTAGGCCCTGTTTAGTTCCAAAGTTTTTTTTTCCAAACTTCTAACTTTCTATCGCATCAAACCTTTTATACACACACAATTTTTCTATCACATCGTACCAATTTCAACCAAACTTCTAAACTTTAGTGTGAACTAAACACACAGCCTTAGCTTGTCATCCAAGCTGCGTAGGCCAGCAAGCGGTCTCTCAGCATAGCTAAGATCTGTATAGGGTGGGGTTTGGTGAAACTGCGATCGTAATATACATATGGTTGTGTGACTTAAAATACTCGTAGCTTTCTGTAACTCGGATAATAAAATCCGGGGTTTTGCAGAAGGGAGTGTCTAGCAAACATTCGAATAATTTTTTTTTCATCCATGTCACTCAGATTTTTTCAACATCTATCCGGACAGCACGTTGTCGAGTGAACGACTTTACTAGTTAATCGTTGTACATCCCCATGGGCCGATTGCTTAGTGAAGAAAAAAAAGAGGGGTTTTACAGTGCTTGGGAGGTATCTGGGGTACCTCCTAAGCCAATTAATACCAACCGTTGATTCTGAAAGGATAATTTAGGAATAAGAAATATTGTTAACTAGGGTAGATTAGTAATTCCTCAACCCCTGTACCCATCCGCTGGCCAGCGGCATCCTGTGCCGATGCTAAGTGCCGGTGCATAGGGCGTACGGCGGTTGATCTGATTGTTGTTGAATGTTGCGTAATGTTGCTGCTGCTGCTGCTGCTGGACTCTGGCCATTGTTGATGATTACAGAACGCTGAAGCATTGATTCATTGTTGTGAAGCTGTTAAATGGAATTGAAAAGTTTAGAGTAATTGATTCCTTGCGAAATTGATGCGCTTAATTTCTAAGTTGCTAGCATATGATCAAAGAAGATATTTCGTGGCTAATTATTGAGCATTTAATTAAGCAGATCAGCCACGTTGAGAAACTAATTAAGCACCATGCCGGTGCATGCTAATCTCATCCGATTAATCGGGTGATTAATCAGTTGCAGCCTCTACTAAACTCAACCAGAGATCGAAGGATCAGGAAACGGACGTGAACGGTTAGGTAAAAGCTGTTTGTATGTATTTGCCCTTAATTGTACAACTAAACCATGAAAGTCAATTACTATTTTAACATTCCACCTTCTATACCTGGTCCACCTTTTACGTACCTTTTCCATAGTACTCCTACCTTTTATCCTGATGCATTGGATTAGCGGCGATCAACGGTGCTAATCAATTCCAAGCACGGAAGAACCTCTCGAAAAAAAAAATCCAACACATCCCTTCATTTATATTGTCCAGAAAACCCAAGATGATTAAATAAATATTACTAATACACCTAGTTAAAGAGTCAGATGCAGTTAGATTGTAGTCATATTAACTACAGTATATATAATTACAGTATAGTTACACTGTAATTTCATAATAGTTACACTATAATGATATAAAGTTACACTGTAATTTCTGCAATTAAATGATAGTGTAAGTTTATCTTTTGGAGCTGTAACTACTAATCAATATTTATTGTATATTTATTCTTTTTAGGGAACTACTCTCCAGCGTTGCATGCTTGCTCGGTTCTGTTTTTCATTTTCCCACCTGTACAGCACGAATCTTGACACAAATTCTACGGCCAAGCGATTGCGAGAGCTCCTACCACACTTTGTAACTTGTATAGTGTATAGCTTTGTATCTTTTCCCTTTTCTGTGTACAGCATGAATCTTAACACAAATTCTATGGCCAAGCGATTGCGAGAGCTCCTACCGCACTTTGTAACTTTGTATAGTGTACAGCTGTATATCTTTTCCCTTTTCTACCCCTAGGGTTGTATTTTTTTTCTGCTATATTCAATGAAATTTTCTGCTATATTCAATGAAAAGGCATAATCTCGTGCTGTTTTCCCTTCAATTTTTTTTCTAATTGCTATATTCTAGTATACATGGCAAGAATTATCTACTTAGTACCGTTGCATTCGCGACTGTCTACTTTTGTAGTAGTGTGTGTGATCCAAAACTGCTTTTTTTTACATGCAGTTTATAAGGAAGATCACATGTGAAAATAGATCGATTTTAGTAGACATACATCTTAGACCAACAATCTCAAAATTGTTGTTTTTGGATGCAAACTGCGTGGGGCATGCACCTCTTAAAATACAGGGCTGGCCCACCTGACCACGAGCAATAAATTAATATAAGTATAGTACTTACACTCCTCTCCTTTATCCTGTCCTACCCCCTCCCCCCTCCCCCGAGCTCTCTCTTGCTGTTCCCTACTTGAGGCACAGATTCAATACTCACCAAAATAACCACACATCGACTACAGACGGCTCGTTTTAGAGCTCTGCATGTGAAAAATGATTTTCTCAAAGGACCTTCTAATTTTTAAAGAGCCATCTATAAAAATTGATTTTCGTTGGCTGGTGTATATTATCAACCAAATGATACCACACTAAAAGATTCATTAAAATTGCCAACATATTTTATGTTTTAGGAGTGTTTAGATTTTAGGTGGGTGTCACTTTTCTAATCTCTTGAATTCTCTTGGATACACTATAGAACAACGATTTTGTGGATGCTTCTCCTTTTATTTTACAAGTGAAATATAAGAAATTATGATAATGTTGAGAGGGCCTTATATAGTTTAAAACAACCTATGAAAATTAATTTTCACTAGCGATCAATAAAACCGCCTGTGAAAATAGGATGGGTTTTACGGACGCTTCTATTAAGAAAACACATAATAGAACCGTCCTTGGAAATACGAGCAATACTTTTGTGTTTAAAAAATCGTAACTCTTTCATATGGAGTTGAATGATGATAAATTTATAACAACAAAACTGTAGTTTTAATAACTAAAAAAATACACATTGCATATATGGCACTATAATTTTAGAATCAGCGATGTGCAATTTTAGGTGACTGGAACTTAGAAAATATGTCTAAAAATGAAATGTAGAAAATATCCTTTTCTTTTAAGGGTGACGCTCCGGTACTCTTTACTTGCAGTATTCTACTACAAGTAGAATTAATCTCAACCGTTTATTTTAAAGGGCAGGTAAGTAATCTCCTAATATAGTTTAGGAGTAATTTTAGCATGGGATGTTTTGTTCGGTTCGCATCGCATCAGGTTCAGTGGACGGCCACGGCAGGCACCACCGGCGATTGCTGCAGCACGGCATCGTCGTCTCTCGCCGGCAAGGGCCACAGCGCGGAGTACACCGCCGACGGGGCGCGGTTTGAGGTGCCATTGGTGTACCTTGGCACGATGGTCCTCGGCGAGCTCCTCGTCATGTCTCAAGAGGAGTTTGGCTTTGCCGGCGACGATGGCAGGATCATGTTGACGTGCGATGCGTCGGTGATGGAGCAAGTCATGTGCTTGATTAGCAGAGATGCCTCTGAAGAGGTTGAGAGGATGTTCTTGAGCTGCATGGCAAGTTCTTGCCACAGTGTCAGAGGAATCAGCCATCAGTTTTACAGTGTCGGAGAACGGCGGGCTATTCGGGATCGGCTGCCACGGCCGGCCGAGGTAGGTCTCCATGCTGCTGCCGGCGGGGGCGCCGCGGAGGAGGTCGTCGTCGGCGTAGATGTTGCAGTCCTGGAACGAGAAGCCGGTGGTGCGGGATTGGGTGGTGATGGTGTTCTGCTGGCCGCGGAGGGAAGGCGCGTGACAATGTCGCAGTGTTGGAAGACGGCGGTGATGCGCGTCGCCGAAGATGAGTTAGATACTGATAAATTACAATAATACCTTACGCGAATTATTATCCCTGGACGAATATACCCTTCCACATTTCTACTACCACTAATTTTGGTGGGAGTAGAAATAAATCATAACCCTACAATTAAATATGATCAACGGCTCAGATTACTTTCTACTCCAAGTAGAAAGCACCGGAGCGGGACTCTTCTTTTAATTATCGCAGAAGTATATTTCACTGCAAAGAACCCGTCAATTGAAAGATCGCATTGCTCTAGAGGAACATGGCAACGTGCCAAAGTAGTTGATTAGGCAACCGCCTGGATTAAGATGCTAAAACCATTTGCGCGACGGCGCAACAAGAAGCAAAACAGCATCACCAAGCCCAAGAATCCCAGCCAGTAATGTTATCGTTGGAGTCTTTGCCAGCTAAATACAGTGTTTCTAGCACTTACAGCCTTTCACGACTTATTGATCATACATATATGTTAATCCATTATGTAAAAGAAATATATGTTAATCCCAACTTGGTACTAATAATCCCAATTGGACCATACCTAGGAGGAAACAGCAATGCAGCTGCCTGTAGAGACAATAGTTTTCCATTGTCCCATAACAAATAAATAATAAATATAGTTAATTAAAGGAACAGAGTGAAGTCAGAAAATCAGAATATGAGGCGAATGTTGGCTGGCGATAGCCGTTACCGGGTTTGGTTATTAGCAATTTGGCAGCCGTCAAACACTGATGTGTCACACACATGGTTTTCTTATAGATTAGTACCGTGTGGTTTACTCAGTAAAATTTGGTCCTATACAACTTTTTTTTGGCTGTGTGCCCACGGGGCAGAGGCAGTAGATGTAATCAATTTTCATTATTAAAAAAAAAACAATTTTCGTTTGCAGCGGTCGACATTTTTCTTCAGTAATCAAAACCGGGGAGCATGGTTCAGTTTTTGTTTGTTTCAGCATGAGCAGACTGAAGCTAAGTTGATCACTTTACGAATCCAATAGAGATGGCAGATGGTCAGCAAGCACAGCAGCTGAACTGATTGGTCAGGAGGTAGTTACCAACGACTGAAATCATGGAAGCTTCTGCAGAGGAGAGATAAGAACTGAGCAAAGTCAAATGCTAGGACACACATAATTGCGTCGTCGACCATGTTCCATCTTCCATGACAGCTAGATTAATTTCTGAGCCCCTGATTAGTTGCTCCTTCTCCATGATCGTTAGTTGTTCGAATCCACCATGGATCATCCCATGCATCAACATAATCTCAATCTATAAATAGCCATCTCTGTATACGATCAGCAGACAGCAGAAGCAGAAGCAGGCAGTCCATCGATCATCTCTTCTCTTCCAGCAAGGAAGCAGCAGAGAAGACAATGGCAGCATCGGCCATGAAGCTCGCCATGGCGGTGGCGTGCGCGCTGGCGCTCGCGTCGGCGTGCCACGGCCTGCAGCTGGGCTACTACAAGCAGTCGTGCCCCCGCGTGGAGGCCATCGTGAGGGACGAGGTGAAGAAGTTCGTCTACAAGGACGCCGGCATCGGCGCCGGACTCATCCGCCTCGTCTTCCACGACTGCTTCGTCGAGGTATGTCGCATTGCATTTCTGAATCACAAATTTGCAATCCATGGCGGCAGTGAGATGAGATCAATGTGAGCGTGACAGATCATCATATGCATGTATGTGTTTGTTGATAGGGATGTGATGGCTCGGTGCTCCTGGACCCAACTCCGGCGAACCCGAAGCCGGAGAAGCTCAGCCCGCCCAACATGCCCAGCCTCCGCGGCTTCGAGGTGATCGACGCCGCCAAGGACGCCGTCGAGAAGGTCTGCCCCGGCGTGGTCTCGTGCGCCGACATCGTCGCCTTCGCCGCCCGCGACGCCGCCTACTTCCTCAGCAGATTCAGGGTCAAGATCAACGTCCCAGGTGGACGCCTCGATGGCCGCCGCTCCCTCGACTCCGACGCCCTCAACAACCTGCCGCCGCCCAACTTCAACGTGAACCAGCTCATCGGCGCGTTCGCCGCCAAGGGCCTCGACGCCGAGGACATGGTGGTGCTCTCCGGCGCCCACACCGTCGGCCGCTCCCACTGCTCCTCCTTCGTCTCGGACCGCGTCGCCGCGCCCTCCGACATCAACGGCGGCTTCGCCAACTTCCTCAAGCAGAGGTGCCCGGCCAACCCGACCTCCAGCAACGACCCGACGGTGAACCAGGACGCCGTCACGCCCAACGCGTTCGACAACCAGTACTACAAGAACGTGGTGGCGCACAAGGTGCTCTTCGCGTCGGACGCGGCGCTGCTGACGTCGCCGGCGACGGCGAAGATGGTGTCGGACAACGCCAACATCCCGGGGTGGTGGGAGGACAAGTTCGCCAAGGCGTTCGTCAAGATGGCATCCGTCGGTGTCAAGACCGGCTACCCCGGCGAGATCAGGAGGCACTGCAGGGTCGTCAACTAATCATCTATATATTGAATTCAACGTGTGTTCCATCAAATTTTCTCATTGCTACGTTTTGTTTTTGTATTTATTCGTTCATTCTTTTGTGTAGTGTATTTTGTGTTGATTATTATATATGTCCTCTCCTATTATGTAATTGTGTAATATGACACTTTATCATGTAATAACATTGGAATATATTTTTGGAGTAAATTTCACAAAACTACAGGTTTAAGGCATCCGTAACCTAAAACCTCCTCATGTGTTTGCAAGCTGTTTCAAGAAACCTCAGGTATTAAGGCAAAAATGTTTCATAACAACCCTAAATTCATACATAAATCTTTCGTTTGGCTATTATACTTATACATAACACACATTTGTCACTTTCTCAACAAAACATCGGGTTACAAATTATATTAAGTTTGGCTTCATGTAATTCGTTTGTGTGATGCACTGATGCTGCCACTAAGGTTTGTATTTTTCATCTTTTTCCATCATGAATGGTAGAAGCGGGAAGGAAATAGAGTAGATATATCAATGTGTATTTTCAGCCTCTAATGTAGAGTTTTGTGAAAAAAAAATTCTCAAAATCCAGGATTCCTTAAAATAAATTGTAAAACCTGGATCTTGTGAAAATTTCTCTAATATGAAAGATATGCTAGACGTTCTTTTATCAAAGTTTAGGAGTTATTCGTTGATATGCTAGACGTTCTTTTATCAAAGTTTAGGAGTTATTCGTTAATTCAGATGAAATCCCGTGTACTCGGTCGGCTTAAGACATACTCCACTTTACAGGAAATTGTCGGAAGAACTTTAGTGCAAACTACTCCTACTTAACAAAAGAAGGTACAGGAGAGTGTTGACAAGAATCACAACTTACAGAACTGACATGCAGCAAATTTTTCATGTTAAAAGAAATTCATTTCTGTAAAGAGCCAACTCCTAGCAGCTGTATGTAGTGATATTGAGAATTATTCCTGTTCCTTGTGATTCTAGAACTGACATGCATTTAAACATAAGCAAAAGAATTTCATTTCACAAGTGGAAAGAGCCAACTAAGGTAGCAGCTGTATTCAGTGATCCAGATTAGTATTATCCATGTTCTAAGTGCAACATCCACCACCAAATAAAGCAGCAATGAGTATTTGGACAAGCGGACCACATCACCACAAGAACAGCTCTAACCAGCCTTTTTTTATACACAATTTGGAGCACAGGCAATGTCATGAATGATTTTACAATCTTATTCACTCCACTTCATCTTCACAGCAAAAGGCGACGACGGCCTACAGTCGGACAGCAAACAGAGCACTAGAGAGGTTTTGTCACTTGGCAACTTCCTAATAAAATTGGAAGAAGAAACCTTAGGAAGTAGACCCTGCCCCCCATCAGGTTACTGTGCATAGTTCTGGGAAGCAAGAACTTCGAGGAGGGTTGCGACGAAGTTCATCTGAACTTCCTCACTAATCGTCGTGAAGAGGGGGAAATGGACGAACAAAGACTTGATACCGCGCTGTTCTGCGAACCTAAGAGATTGGTAATAGACATAGTTGCATACGAATCGACCAGCGTCATCCGAAGGCGCCACATCGAAGCCCATCTGTTGTAGGGACTTGTTCACTTCATTCACAGGCACAGTGGTCTGCTTGATCATACAAAAATAAGGACAAGTTGTGGTTAAGGACTTAAGATGGTAAAGACTACCCAAAAAAATAGTACGAAACAAAAGGAGTTTAGACAAGAAACAATTGTGACCATCACAGCATAGCGTGGACTGATGAGGTGCTGTTAATACATGTCACATACTTACAGAAGCCACCCACAATTAGCAATTCTTTCCACATACTTTGTGTGCAATAGACTTTGCCACTGAACTCTTCAGTTCAAGTTAAAAAGATTTTAACCGACCACCAAATTTGTTTGAAAATAAACACCTAAAACAATTTGGCATGGCAACGATGAACTATGAACCAAACCTAACCTACGATGACACAGTAATTGAAAATCCTCGAATGCAAATGTTGTGGCATGGCAAGGCGTAACCTAACAACAGAGGCACTGGCGCACTGCTCTATCCCACTATAAAAGTTCATCTAGGATCCATGTGCATGTAAAAATGTTGATCATTAATACATGCTTAAAGTATATAAATTGACTAATTGAAATGGGATTTTTCTTGCAGAATATTTTCATGCTATATAATTTTATTTTTTTAGTAATATATCATGACACAAAATCAGTCAAATGTTAAGTTAATAAAAGCCAAAACAGACTTATATTATGGGTTGAGGGAGTATTTGAAGGTAGATTGAAGTTATATTTCAGGACGGGTACATTAACTCAATGATGAAATACTTTCAGGAAACAACAGCAAAATTCTACCTTTCTTAAATTTGAGATGCTTCCATCAGATGACACAATAGGGGCCCTCTGCAAAGTTGAAAAAGGGAAAAGGAACAGATAAGAATGGAAGGGCTTTTTATGTATGCACATGAAACCATAAAGGTAAAAAGGACAATTAAGGTAACCTGTGGTTTCCATCCCAGCTCATCAGGGCAACGGAAGGTAGCTTCATTAATAGCTTGATTCTCAAGGGCAAACCTTGTTGTGCCACTGTTGACTCCAAAATGGAGCTGAAAAAAAATCCATAAAAGTAATTGGTTTCAATCAAAAAATAAAAGGTAAAGAGAAACAATTCTTTCCAACACACAAATGTTAGACAAATAGAACCTTGACGGACCTTTAAAACTAGAATATAAAAGCGTTTCATATTTTCTTATCAAACAGTAAATTTGGCTGCAAAATAAGTTTCACTATAGCATCCAATTACATTTAAGGGCAAATGAAACTTGTCAAGTCATTACTGTGGACTTCTCAGGATAACATCATGAACTTTCTAATAATGTACAATTGAGTAAATCTGTAAAGATGAGAACTGACCAGAATCACTTGCCCCTGATCATTCAACCCATACTCTTTGTCTACGATGGCTGATTCAAACACTTCATACAACGGACCAAGCCCACCCTGCCCAGCAGTCTCAAGAACAGTGCAACTTCCAAGTGTTAAACCTTTAGGCAACCCTCTCTTTTCCATAAATGACTCAAGATTGCGCACAATCTTCTCCGTCGGATTCTCAGCGACTCCATGGAACTTCTTGAATCCAGTAACGTGAACGGTAACACCAGAAGGTCCTTCAGAACCCATCTATCCGGTTATGAAACAAAGTTGACCAAGGAAAATATGCAGTCACACAATCTGCATAGAGATAGAGGAAGCATCAGATTATCAGTAAAAAAGCAAGCAGTTCCCTGAAAATTCAGCAATGCATAAGGAGTCAAGGACAATAAATATAGCCTTAAAACCAGCTATGGGAGAATGTTGCCATTAAACAAAAATGTACTGCTGATTGCTGACAGTGCCGACCTCCCAAGAATGAGATATCGACACATACAACATGCAAGTAGTACTACTTTTGAGCAGTTAGTAACGCTGACGATTTAGCAAATGTCATTGTCTAAAAATAAACAGGTGCTTTCGAGTAGTTGTTTAATTGTGTGATCAGCAGAACGCCGCGAAGCAGCAGAGCCACGTTTTTAGACCGTCTGAAACCGATTGAAGCAGAGACGTCGCCCTCAGCATTTAGCAGGAAAAGCAAAACTTGGGCAAGCAAACGATCAATCGCATCTACAGGATAATCAAACTCTTGATTAAATCAGTGTAAAAAAAAACACTAGCACGCAAGCAGTAGGTTCGAACAGGAACACCGATATAATAAAATTCTGAAAGGAAAGGCATGTCTGTCTTGTTACAGACAGCTCCCAAGTACAGAAAATATATTTGAGGGAAAATGGTTTGCCAGTAAAGGAAAACAACCGAAATATTCGTTCTTCGGCGTTCTAGAATCTAACGACCTAACAAGATTTCTGTCGAGAAATAAGCTGAGAAGTGATTAAGAGAATCATAAGCTATGAAATGACTTGCAGACATGACACGAGCATACAACGAATGCAGCACAATCAAAAGTTAGTTGGGATGAGCTCTATCCTCCACAGTAGACACAACAACACTAGCCAAATTCGTAGCAGGAGCAGCATCAAGAAGAAAGCCTTCATCGCGCAAGATTAGGCGCTCGATTATTGTAGGCTTGTAGCAGCAGCCACGGAATCGCCACAGTAAGAACAATATCCCCCCAACAAAAAAAAAAAAAAATCGGCACCTTTGTGCCTCAAAAAGTCAAAATCCCCTCATAGCCCCTCCAAATCGTTCCAAGAATCAACCAAACCGAGCAAGAACCCCTCGTCCCCCGGAGCTTGGCCCCCTGAGCTCTCTCACCTTGGCGCGGCAACCACGGCGACGGCGGAAGCAAAGCAAGCTCCTTTGCGCGCTCCAGCAGAAGAAGAAAGTGGATGGAACGGAAGAGAAGAGAAGACCGGAGAAATCGAAAGCGAGGTGAGGTGAGGTTAGCAACTGTCCATCCTCCTCCTTCTTAAAGGCGCAATCTGAAATGGGATCGATCGCCGCGGCGAGGCGGCTTACCTCATCGGCCGAGAGAGACGATTAGAGCGGGGAGGGGAGGTGGGCCCCGCTTGACAGCGACCCCGGGGCGTGGGCCCACCTGTAGGCGCCTCGTGGCTCGCGAGGAGATAAGCCGGAGGAGGGGAAGGGGGAAGGGGAAACGGCTGCGCTGCGTTGCGTTGCGTCGCCAAACCGAAGTCTGAGTCTTTTTTATCTTTAACGTTTGAGGGGTTGCGTTGCGCGGCGCCTCCGGCTTTGGGCTTTTGGTTTGGTTTGGTTGGTTGGTTTTGTTGCAGGTTTTTTGGGTGAAGTCTCTCTGGAACCGGATGCTCCTGCGGTTTCGGTCTCTCTGTTTTGGTGATGCACCGCCGCCGCGTCTTTCTCTCCTTCGAAGTGTTGTGCTGATAGAGGGCAAGTTTTGTTCCATTTCTCATGTTATAATGGTGAAAGATTTGTCCCTCATTATGTGTAGTAGATGGTGATATTATACTGATCCAATTAATAAACGTCGACACATATAGTGGTATTTCTTGTGAGATAGATGTATCAATTTGCAATGGATCTAACCAATTAAACTAATTATTTTTTTAAAAAAACTTCATTGTAGAGCTAAATTAATTGATTGCAATGTAGAAAAGTTGCCATACATAGAAGCAAGTAAAAATAAAATAAAATGGTTATGGGTCCGTTATACTCGAGAGGAATCCTTTGTTGTACGACATGCAGTAGGTATCACTGACATGTGGGCCCGGAGCAGGTGAGACCCACATATCAGTGACACCTACTGCAGGTGCACTAAAGTAGAGGATTTGCATCCGTTGTATCCCTTTTATCGTGGCTTGTATTAGTTGCTAACTATTAGGGACTATATATGAAGCAATTATTTCTATCGGTATCTAGGTATGCGTTTCATCCTTATTTTTATGGAGTAACATTATATTAGGGACTATATATGAAGAGACAGTTTCTACCGGTATCTAGGTATGCGTTTCATCCTTATTTTTATGGAGTAACATTATATTATGGACTATATATGAAAAGACAGTTTCTACCGGTATCTACGTATGCGTTACGTCCTTATTTTTATGGATTAATGTTATATTAGCGACTATATATATAAAGCAATTGTTTCTATCGGTATCCAAGTATGCATTTCATCCTTATTTTTATGGAGTAACATCCTATTAGGGACTATATATGAAGAGACAGTTTCTACCGGTATCTAGTTATGCGTTACGTCCTTATTTTTATGGAGTAATGTTATATTAGGGACTATATATGAAGAGGTTGTTTCTACCGGTATTTAGGTATGCGTTTGGTCCTTAATTTTATGGAGTAACGTTATATTAGGAACTTATATGAAGAGACCGTTTCTACCGATATCCAGCATGCGTTTCGTCCTTAATTTTATGAAGTAACAATAGCGTTTTTTAGAGTTTAGACATATTAGGGAACTCTCATGTTCATCTCTTTTAAAAATTTCCCTAAGTAATGAGAATAATCAAGGATGTTGTCCCATTTCTTGGTTCTTTTAAATTAGAGGATTAAGGTAGGAAAATTGGAGGATTCTAATTATATATATGGAAACATTCGTATGAAAGCTTTCTTTAAAAAAAATAAAGGATTAAATATTATCGTTTCCTTTAAAATTTCTATGGAATGGATAATTCTACGATGGTTTTGGCGGAAGACAATAAAAAGGTCATAGCTGATGTTTTTAATCATTTGTCTCTTACAATCCTATGTTTTTACTGCTTACAATCCTATGTTTTTACTGCATTGCAATCAAACATCTCTTTTCAAGTTTTGTTTAATGTGGGTAGCAAGCAAGCAAGGAACCCAACCTGATTGTGATGCAGGGTTTACAACACCAGTGGAAACTAGTCTGGATTTCACGGATTTTTTGGACCGAGTAAAAAAAAAACACAAACCAATCGTTTTTTTGTCAAGTTAAAAAATCAAACTGAATTTTAATTTTTTTACAAGGATTGCAAATTTCATTAATTTTTTGTCGGTTTATCAATGGATTCTGTGAAATCCAAAGATACTGCTTGTGAGTAGTTTTAGATTTGGTGTCGGCATAATGAACTTGGTCTTGGGTCGGCCTACTATGAATTAGGCCAAAATTTGAATTGCATGATAAAGAAAAATGAATGGTTTAATAGACTTTTGGTTCTAGACCTCGGGCCATATTCTAGATAGGCCGAGGCTTGCGACTGCCCCTAATGACATGTATCATTGTTTTCTGTCCTTAACATAAGGTACATTTTTCTCCGTCCTTGACTACATAAGGTACATGTAGTACTAGTTAGGATCAGCATCTTGTAGCGTCTAGTGAGCCTGTGTTGTCCATGTCTATTTTGACAATTGACAATTCATTTAACAATGAAATCACGTTCGGGTTCTATGTGTAGGGATTGTAGCCATAAAAGAAGAAAAAGAAAGAACTAAATCAACATAACATGTCATGTTATTGTACAACAATTTGCTCTCGTATTTTAAAATTTAATTAAGTGTTCCTTTCAAACGCAGGATTCCGAAAACACAGGGGCGGATGAATCACAAGAATAAAGATATCATGCCACAACGAATCGTACAAGAAATATAAATCCTTAGGATTTTGCAAAAAGAAAAAAAATAGTAGCACCTTAGGAAAAGCAAGGAAATTTTGAGTCAAGAGAAAACATGAAGTATACCCTCATGTTAATTTGCCTCCAAAATTCCTATAAAATAAGCAATTGCATAGTGATTTCGAAGGATTTTGGAAGAGTCATTCCTATGTTCTAAAAGACCATGCAGGAAAAATTTCTGATGGATTTGAATACTTCAAAATCCCTTCACTCTTCCTTTGTTTCAAAATAGCCCTAAATGGGAATCCGGACAAATAGCTTATATATTTCTCAAGGCTCCCAGACTAATGGTTAAAAGTTTGTGCTGATTGCTTCTGAGCATTGTCCGGTCAACCCAGGCGAGTTCATCGCCCTGGTCGCGTTGCAAGTGAATTGACATGAGCTCCTTCCATAGACACACATATCCTAGTTAACTAGTATGTGGTGATTGGTTAACTGTTACATCCATATTTAACACAAAAATAATGTCCTGTAGAGACCCCTACCATTATTTGAGCATTGCTACCGTCCAGCAGGTTGTACCGGGCGGTACTGGGTACCAAAACAAATCTAACCGTTGAATCAGGATGGGTAGGATCGGGACAGAAAAGATGAGCGTCAGGAGAGAAATCTAACCGGCGTTCAAGTCATCGTTCCCGGTGGTGGCAGCGTCGAAGTCGTCGTTCCCGGCGACGGTGGCAGCGTCAAGTCGTTGTCGTTCCCGGCGGCGGCGGCGGCGGCGTCGAGGGTCCAGGAGGCGGCGACGGTCGATCCCGGCAATGGCGGAGTTGACGTCCAGGCGGCGGCGGCGTTGATGGCGTCGATCCAGGCGTCAGCGACCCAGATCGAACTCGCGGCGCCGGAGGAGGAAGACGCGGCGACGGCGGGAGTGAGGAAGCACAGCGTCGACAGGGCGAAAGCACGTCGGCGGCGGGGGTGAGGAAGCACGTCGGCGGGGGTGAGAGGCACGGAAGAAGACGGCGGCGGCGGGGGCAGGAAGCACGGCGGGTAGGGGCGGGACGGCACGGCCCGATTCAATCTAGGGTTCCCATAGCGAAGTTACATTTTTGCCTACCGGGCGGCCAACGGCTAGTAGAATTTGGTACCGCTCGGTACCAGTACCGCTGGACGGTAAAAAGGCTCCCATTATTTAGAGTTTGTTGGATTGTCCACCCTTTTCCTCTCACCTTGTTTGTATGGGCCTCATCCTATCCTAACCCAATCCACATGGATAATCCAGGATTAATCAATATCCAAATACATGGATGGACCAGGATTAGGGCCCATTCAAACAAGCCTGAGCGGTTTGCCATTCTCCAGCAGAATAACTTCACCTGCAACAATCTTCAGACAAGCCCGTTTCCCATTCCTCCTACACGATATATGTACAGCAAGCATCTCCATCTTTGACCAGCAAAGACTGTAGATTTGTAGTCAGCCATCACAAGCAGAAGCAGTATTTCACTGAACATAGCTACAGCTACACGAGTACACATGCATATGGAGATGCAAGCAGATCGATCAGGCCACGAATTTCAGGCAGCGGGTATCGTTGTGAATGACCTGGCAGCGGCACGAGCAGAACCTCGTCCCGCACCTGACGCACGTGTAGTTCGCCGTGCTGCCGCAGACCGAGCAGTAATGGCGCCGGGACGAGGTGCTCGGGGGACCAACGGCGGCCCTGGAGTACGTTGGGACATGGGGAGGCAGCGACTCCAGGTTTGCCTGGCGAACACAGTTCAGGAGTAAGAGATCTCTTGATCTTGGTCATCCTACTGACGCGAGGTGCACGGTGGATGAGAAATTTGCGAAATAGGATCATGAATCTTGGTTGAGAATATGAGCTATAATGAGCTGTTCCGCGTACCTCCTGTAACACGTCCATGAAAGATCTCGCCGCCTTCTTCTCCAATGCCTTCCCTTGCCTCGTCTTGCGCTTCATATTCTTTGACTGCTTCCTCTGCATGAGAACTGTAGAAAGGCAGATGACAAGAGAAAAGAAGATTTTCACATTAACACTAGATCAATACATCATCATTTTTTTCTGGGGAAACTTAAACTCTCTAGACAACGGTGCATTCTAATTGCACACACAACCACAGTCCAAACAGCCTAACACTTCTGCAACCTTCCAATTTGTCGATATTATCCTAAATAGGAAAATGAGTGCATTGTTTGACGAAATGGTGAAACCTTGACTGCTATAGGCTACATGAGACCACAAAAAGTAAATCCTTGACCAAAACCAAAAAAATGGTGGGAATATTATAGCAGCACATGCGAAAGACTAAGATGTTTTAGCGCTATGGCTAAAAAGTTGTGCTGTAATAGCTTGCCTTTGCTAAATCTCAAGTGCTTTTCCATTGTTTTGCATTTCTGTGAGACAGAATCCTGTTTGAAATGAATCACTTTCCATTCAAACAGTGTAGAGTTGATTGGCTATCCAATATTTGCATATAAGAAATCTATGGACTTCTATATATTTATATCATTGAGTTGTAGCTTATTATAGAACTTATTTTATTCTGTAATCTATCAAGTTAAATGATCTTTTGTCATACTTGGTCAAAATGGTGCTTATTTTTTGGTATGTGATTCTTTACCAAATTAAATTATCACTCTAATGTTGTTATACTTATATCCAATTTTTAAGCTTTAAGAGTAACTGCAGCTGTAGTCATTTGAAGTTTTATGTAACACCGAACTTTCTTATTAAAAACTTTTAAAACAATAAAATATCTATGTATGGTAGCTTTTCTGACAATTAAGACAGTTGCTAATCTGCAATAATTTTTTAGGACTTCACTACAAAGGCAAGAAAAAATGACTACAGATGCTCACACCACATTACCTCACCTAGAATTTGTCTTAAGTAATAGATATGAACAAATTGCTTTCAAAAGACTGCTATATGAAATATCAGCTAGACCTCATTCATTAATTTGTTTGCAATAAACAAAAGAGATAATGATGGCTGTTTCTGCAATATTAGTACTTGAAGGAGCAATACCACCTTAGGCATTTGCCATTTTATGTTAAAGTATTCTGCAAGATAAACTGATTCAGCTGAAAGTTGTTAACAGTATATATCTAGACATTGTATTGTCTAATCATTCTCACATTGTGATGACAAATAATGTCTTCAAGATCAATATGACATTCATAGGTTCCCTGAAATAACCAAAATAAAATGTGTTACATGAAAATAAGGACATGAGAAAGGAACTGACCATGGTCTTCCTCATCTGCAGATCCATATTCATCATCATCGTTAAGATCTACGACCTCAGGGCCAGCATTATCACTCTCAAGCGCTTCAAGACGAGCTAGTGCAGCCTACATGCCATCACATAAATGTAGACAGAAATTAGAGAAACTAAATAACTGGGAATCAGTAAATTTCAAATATCCATGGATAACCAAGAAGGCAAAATTCTTTTGTACTGAAAACTCTGAATCCTAAACAGAAGACGAGTAAAAATGAAATTAAGAGTACATGGAAAGAATTAAAGCTCTATATCCTGTAGAGTTCCTTCTTTGACAAAGGGTCATAAGCAAAACATTAGTGCTGGTATAATTAAGGCAGAGCATATTCGCCACATATATGAGCAGTAGAAATTCTACACAAAACTCTTCATGCAAACATCTGCAGAGGTCATTTACTAAAACTACCGGTCAAGATGGCCCAATCCTTTCAATTGCTCTATTTTAACACAAACAAAACCTGCAATGTGTGGCCCTTAACATTGGAGCAATAATCAAGCAAAGTCTGGAGCAGGCGTTTGTTACCATGAAGGTTCAGTACACAAGCCCAATTTGCAACTATAATTCAGAACAATAATCAAGTGTATTTGGAGGGATTTCACAAAAAAGGAAAATAATATGGAGAAATTAGCGGTGGCCACTGGCCTGGATATTATTAACACGTCTCTACCTCTCTAAAAAAAAAAGTCCATTACAAGCTTTCATTGCAATAAGAGAACCACAATGTTCAGAGAACGCCCCAATAAAGGGTTGACACAAAACCACATTAGGTACATTTCAAACTGTAAAAACTAATTTCTTTCCTTTTCTTAATCTCCATCTAATACTGGTACTACACCTTCTGAACGGCCGTGAGAAGTGACAAGACAAGTCGACTACTCAAGTGCTAAATCAAGAGATAGTATTGAATACAGCAAGACATAGGATGAAATGGATGTAATAATATCTTTGGATTCCAAAGTCGACTAAATCAAGTGCAAGTAAGGAAGAGATAAACTAGGGCAAGAGCTTTAATCCGGAGACAATAACAATTACTACTACTAAGCAGCTGTTAATGCCGGAAGCCAAGCTCAGCCAGCAAATCGAGCTTGTCGAATCGAAGGAAGGAGGGGAGGAAGCAAGCAAGGCATCGACCGACCGGAAACGAACCTGCGCGCGGTTGTCGGAGCTGGCGAGCGCGGAGGCCATGCGCGTGGCCATCCGCCGCGTCCGCGCGCTGGTGCGGCGGAACGGCCCCACGTTCTCCTCCTCCTCCCCCTCCATCCCGGCAACGGCGAGCGGAGAGCGGCGGCGGCACGGGTAACGGCGGCGGCGGCGGCGGATGGCGAGAGAGGTGGAGATCCTCGAGCGGAGAGGGCGGAGAGGCCGTGGGGAGCTTCGCGTGCGGACTTGGGCTGGTCTGCTGCTTCGGCCCATTAACTACCAGCCCAAGACTCCTCCCTAGGCCGCCTGCTCATGTGAAGGAATTGGGCTGGTCTGCTGGTTCGGCTCGGCCCATCAACCAGTCCAAGTTTCGATCTCCATAAATCTCGCATCGCAACTACGGCTACCTGCGCTGCGCACAACACAAGATCGTGACTTCGTGAGTCGTGACCGTCGTCTCCACACCTATGGACAACGCGGCGGCGCCGCCGTCATCTGGAGCGGCGGGGAAGGAGATGGCCACGGCGGGGGCGCTACCGGACGACCTGCTCGACGAGATCCTCCTCCGCATGCCGGCGCGTTCCATCCTCCGGTGCCGCGCCGTCTGCAAGGCTTGGCGCTCGCGCACCTCCCATCCCTACTTCCTCCGAGCCCACGCCGCCCGTTCCCGGATAATCGCCGCCGCCGTGGTTGACACAACTGCAATTCCCGACGGCGAATTCCGCACCACCATCAGCATCAGACCTCTCGGCGACGGCGACGGCGACCGCTCGGGGGCGGCCGTGTCGTCGTCGTCGTCGTTCGCCTCGGTGCGGTTCGGATCACGGCCTTTTGTCCTCGGCTCCTGGGATGGCGTCGTGTGCCTGGTGCCCGCCGGTGTCGTTCGCCCTCTCAGCCGCATCGACCGATACGTGCTCGTCAATCCGCTCACCAAGGCCTGCACCAGCGTGCCACCGCCGGCAACCCGCGGCATCGTCATCTGCGGTTACGCCCACCCGACCACGTCGCGCTACCACCTCCTCCACGCCGACGACGCCTATCCCTACAACCATATGGCGGCGGCGACCATCCGGATTCTGCGAGTCGGGGAGAAGAACAACGTGTGGCGCAAGATCGCCCGCCACCCTGCGCCTGCGTGCGTGGAGTCGAGGACCTACATTCGATTCGGCGGCGCTCCACCCGTCAGCCTCCACGGCTGCCTGCATTGGCTGGTCGCCCCGTTGTCGGCGGCGTCGGCACGGCCTCTCCTATCGGTGTTCGACATGGAACGGGAGGAGTTCCGGCAGATGGACGCCCCCGAACAATGGGCTCGCCATGGGAACCTGCCGCACATGATGGGTGTACAGATCGCTCGGCTCTCCGGCAAGCTGTGCGCGTTCGTCAACGAGCCGAGCGCCAGCGCGTTGGGGATGTGGACGCTCGAGGACTACTCCGACCCGAGCAGCTGGCGGATGGAGCGGAGTATCGACTACTCGCGCCACGGCGCCGGCAGCCGGAACATCGCGCGCACGTTCCGCAACCGGTTCTCGGCGGCCACCACCGCGGTGGAGGTGCTACCCGATGGCGTCAGCGGCAACGGCGATGTCGGTGGCGGTGGCGAGGAGGAGATCATGTTCCTGTTCAACCAGTTCGACACGAGGGAGGCTGTGTACAACGTTGGGCGCGCGGCGTGGCGGTGGCGAAGGATTTTGCCACCGCCGACGAGGCGCGTGATGGCGCACAAGGAGTGCATGTTGCCGCGTGAGGTGAGCTTCGGTGGGGCGGCGCATTTTGTGGAGGAGAGTGACATCGGCGGCCACCGTTGCATTTGCATATGATAGTAGCATTGCTCGTTGGGTTTGGGCTTCCTTGTTTTAAGCCGGGTCCTAAGATGTGCTTGATTCTAATTGTTTAGGTTTGGTAGAAATGAGATTTAAAGAGTTGAAAGTATTACCGCTCTATTTCCTTCTTTGACAAAGGGCAAAAAAAATAAGTACCGTGAGATGGATTCTAATATCTCGAGTAGACGTCCATCCGTTTATTGCATATCAACTAGATGGTTACGAAAAATTTTCAAAAAAATTAACAAGATAGATCAATATGTAATATATCACTACACAAACATGCAAGTTAAAATTAACTTCAAAAGTTAACACTTTGCAACTATAATTCGAAACAATAATCAAGTGTATTTGGAGGGATTCATTCCACATCAAAGAACAATAGTTTGGACGGAATCGATGGTGGCCAATGAACCAGATATATCAACAGGTTTCAGCCTCTTTCATTAAAACAGAAGCACAGTGTTCAGCAAATGTGCCAATAAAAAGTAGACTGACAAGTAGACAACCATACGGGTACACTTCAAACTCTACGATGAACTACTTTTTTTTCTTCTTAATCTCTAGCTAATATTAGTATAGTACTTGTATAGTACTTTTTTAAAAGGCTTTGATAATAAGTTATAGAAGACAATAAGAGGAAAATTGAATATACAAGAGATAGATTAACATGGAATCCGATCCCCTGATAAGAATAAAATGCCAAGAGAAATTTAGTTTCTTTGCACTCCATAGTCGACCACTAAATTGCTATTAAGTGTTAAACAAAACATGAGCAAGTAAGGAGCAAAAACGAGGTTCAGAGTGTTAATCAGGGTTCAGGAGATAATTAAGTACTAATTAGTAGTTTAGTGCTACTACTAAGAAGCGGCAGTTGCCGCCAGATGCGAAGCTCGATCAGCGAGCGAATCGAATCGAAGGAAGGAAGGAACCTGCGCGCGGTTGTCGGAGCTGGCGAGGGGCGGAGGCCATGCGTGTGCGGCTTCAACTTCAGGAACTGAAGATATTGAGTCTTGGTTTTTCCTCATGAATCATGAGGGAAAAAACCAGTTGTGATTGTGTTTGCTTATGGTATTACTGTGTTAAAAAACACCATGAGCATTCCAATTTTGGATCCTATATGAGGTCTCGAGATGTTGAGATGCATGGTCATCAATCAATTTCGCAGTTCTGAAAAGTTTGACGATATTCGGCTTGGCGGCGGCGATGCCACTGTCCAGCACAGTGGCCGGAGGCAACATGGACGGGCAAGGGCTAGCAGGATTGATCATGGTCATGCATTGGCCTCGTGAGGACATGGAACTGGAAGAGACGGGGGCATTGGAGAGGAAGAAGAGACTATTTGCATTGAGATTCGTACTGGATCAGCCTCGCAGCCGACGCGGGATGTGATTCTATTAATCTATTCCATTATCTTAAAAAAATATTTTCGTGTCGTGTCCCTAGCTTCAACTTTGGCGGTGCCCTGGCAACCAAAGGGAGCATATATAGTCCCTGTTTAGTTCGCGAAAAGAAAATTTTTAATTGTTACATCGAACGTTTGACTGGATGTCGGGAGTGGTTTTCGGACACGAATGAAAAAAACTAATTTTATAACTTGCCTGTAAACCACGAGACGAATTTATTAAGCCTAATTAATTTGTCATTAGTATATGTGGGTTACTGTAGCACTTACTGCTAATTATGGACTAAATAGACTCAAAAGATTCGTCTCGTGATTTCCATGCAAATTGTACAATTAGGTTTTCAATTTACCTATATTTAATGTTCTATGCATGTGTCTAAATACTCGATGTGATGTTTTTGAGAAAATTTTTTTTGGAACTAAACAATAGTAGTAGCATGTGGGCTAAGTACATATATACGGAGAGAATTAATGCCAAAGTCATATGCAAATTAATTTCAGTACACTATAAATTAATTAATACTTCAAAAATTATTTCACCCGGACACAACTAAGCTGAGGAAGAACAAGAAAATTCCACTCCTCATTAACAATATTGGGTGCTTGGCAATGGCATGCATGAGCTTTTGAGGTTGTTTTCGAAGGATCAATCCACCTTTGAGTCTAAAATATTGTTTTCGAAGGATAAAATCATGTACATGTATTAGTTAGTTTGAAGCAAATCTCATAAAAAAAAGTCAAATAATTTCAAACAGATCTCTCTCAAATATTTCTTTTTCAACAAAACCTAATTGATTAGACACACAAGGCCATCTTAGGACTAGGGTTAAAGTACAGCACGCCCGCCCAACTAGTACTGGTATATGGGATAAGGATTTTCTACACCCATGGTTCACCTAGGTGCCATGGCACCCAACATTCGCATGCGACTTAAATAGTTATAAAAAAAATTAGTAACATCGATTGTGATTATATAAGTCTATACACAAACATGCAGTACTAAATTTGATCTACAACAAGAGAAACAAAAATAATAAAATTAGACAGTAAATAGTACCAGTACAGATATCTTCATATGTCGATCGAATTTAGACTTACATGTTTACATAGTATCTTATATATTATCATAGTCTATGTTATCAGGTTTTATAAAATTTTTATATAATTGTTTAAATTACATGCATATAACTAAGTATAGGAAAAACTTTCCCCTAGTATATGCGGTAGAAACAGTGGCCGCCGATGTCCTTCTCCCAAGGAACCTGAGACGCGTCACCGAAGCTCACCTCGCGCGGCAATATGCACTGCCTATGCATCATCAGGCAGCGTGTAGTCAGCGGCAATATCCCCCGCCTGCGCCACGCCGCGCGCCCAACATTGTACACGACCTCCTCGTCACCAAGCTGGAGCAGGATCTCCTCGCCCTCGTCATCGTCATCGACACCATTGGGCAGAACCTCCACCACATCGGCTGTCGAGAAGCGGGCACGAAAAGTTTGAGCAGCGGCGGCGTGTGGATCGTCGTCGAGAGCAGCACCGGCGGCGCTGCCGCACGAGTAGTAGTAGTCGATCTTCCGCTGAAGCCGCCAGCTTGTTGGGTCGGAGTAGTCCTCGAGCACCCACAACCCCAATGCATTGGCGCCCGGCTCGTCGGCAAGGGCGCACAGCTTGCCGTGGCAATGGGTGATGTGTATTCCCATCATCGTGTGCGAGTGCGACAGGTTGCCGTCCCGCACTCCTTGCCCCCCGGGGGCCTCCATCAGCCGGAATTCCTCCCGTTCCATGTTGAACTGTTGAAGACGGCCACGAGAAACTGCGCCGATGATGACGAGGCCAGCCAGTGAAGACAGCCGTGCAGTCTGACAGGCGGAGCACAGAGGAACTTAATACAGACCCTCGTCGTTGCGAGGGCAGGGCGGCGGACCTCGCGCCACACGCTGTTCTCCCCGAGCCGCAGGATCCAAAAGGTCTCCATCGTTGTGAAGAAGTTGGTGTGCATGATGTGGAAGCGCGACGTGGTCGGGTGGGCGTAACCGCCGACGAGGAAGCCGTCGGTAGCCGGAGCCGGCACGATGGTGCAGGCCTCGGTGAGCGGGTTGCAGAGCACGTACCGCTCAACGCCTCTTCCGGGGCCAAACAGAATGTGCGCTGCGCACAGGATGCCGTCCCACAAGCCGATGACGGCTGTCATGGATCGCACCGGCTCCGACGCCGAGACGAACGACACGGCGAGGGAAGCCGCCACCGCCCCCGAGCATTTGCGGCCAAGCCGTCTGATGCGGACGGTGGTGCACGACCTTCCGCAGGGAGTCGTCGTTCTAGTTTCCACGGTGGCCGCGGCGGTGACGACGGTGGCCGTGCAGGAACGGGCGGCGTGGGCGCGGAGGAAATCGGGCTGAGAGGTGCGGGAGAGCCAGGCCTTACACACGGCGTGGCACCGCCCGATCGACGGCGCCGGCAGGCGGAGGAGGATCTCCTCGACCAGGTCGTCCGGCAGCGCCTCCCCGGGGGCCCTTCTCCCGCGTCGCCGTTCCCGATCGTCGTATTCCATGGGCGCCGGGAGGAAAAAACGCTGGTTAGCTTAATTAGGTTACAAATCTCGTACTCCTATATTGTAGTACGAACTTGTGTGGGGGGACTTGGGGCTTGGGCTGTCATCAGTTGATGGGCCGAAGCAGCACTGCAGCAGCAAGGTATAGTACGTCGATTCGATTAGAGTTAGACTGATAAACGACGGGACTGCCTGCACATTTGTCGACAAATTTTTCCCCAAAAATTTGACAGATGTAATAACAGTACAATTGTAGTGTAATTACACTGTAACTTATATGTAATTACACTATAACTTACATGTAACTACAGTGTAACTTATATGTAAGTTTCACATAATTTTAAATCGTTAGATCTATTACAATATTTGTTTTGGTGAAGAAGAAAACAAATCATAGCACACACATATATGAAAGAATTTGTTCCCACAATCTCCATTTTACCGAAATAACATGTTACCGAGAGATTTTTGAAAGTTACATACAAGTTACACTATAGTTACAGTGTAATTATATGCAACTTACAGTATAATTACACTACGATTGTACTGTAATTATATCTGTCAAATTTTTGGGGAAAAATTTGTCGACAAATATATAGCGAAATCGATAAACGACAACACCGAGCTATTTAAACTGCAAAACACCAAACCTATCAGCAAACGAGCTAATTAAAACCGGACCTCCCGCTATTGCTGCACTATCCTCCACTGTAACTGTTTGAGAAGAGTTCTAGCTACTTGCTCCGATATAACTTTAACCCCTGCTATAGCTGTTTGAGAAGCTAACCGTTAAATGTATTAGCCCGCTATTTAAAATATTGCTAAACACATATCGAGATCAAAGCCCTTCAGGAAGCGAATTCCCGGGCTTCAGACTTCAGCAGGACTTTCTCCGACCAATCTTCAATCAGCTTTTGATCCTTTGGTGCAGACAGGTCTCCGATCCGCATGCGGAAATCTAGTTTTGGCTGTTTGAAAAAAATATTTCTGTACAAGTGGTATATTTGATTATGTATCTTATGTCAATATATCTCTTGGTATATTCGGTTTTTCTGTTATTGTCTTCCCACTTCTCACCAGCCGTTCAGAATATGCAAATATTAGCTAGTGATTAAGGGCAAAAGAAATACTCCCTCCGTCCCTAAATATTTGACACTGTTGACTTTTTTAAATATGTTTGGTCGTTCGTCTTACTTAAACATTTTTGTGAAATATGTAAAACTATATGTATACATGCATAAAAATGTATTTAACAAAGAATCAAATGATATGAAAAGAATTAATAATTACTTAATTTTTTGAATAAGATGAAAGATCAAACATATTTAAAAAAGTCAATGGCGACAAATATCTAAGAATGGAGGGAGTACAATACCTGTGTAGTTTTGTCTACTCATACTCCTCTTTACTCAGGTGTTCTCTTAACAGTACTGCGCCTCTCTTCTGGTCTGTCAGCATGGAAAAGCAAAGGCAGAAAGCGCAGCATGTGAGCGCGTGTATACTACTCCCTCCGTATTTTAATGTATGACGCCGTTGACTTTTTTAACAAACGTTTGACCTTTCGTCTTATTTAAAAAATTTATGTAATTATAATTTATTTTATTGTGACTTGATTTATCATCAAATATTCTTTAAGCATGACATAAGTATTTTTATATTTATATAAAAATTTTGAATAAGATGAGTGGTCAAACGTTGGTTAAAAAGTCAACGGCGTCATACATTAAAATACGGAGGGAGTATTTGAATTGTATAGTTTTAATTTGTATTGTATTTATCTAGAAATTAGATGTCGAGGGATATGCAGAAGTCACCCGCAAATTAATTTCAGAAGTAAAAATTAACATTTCCAAATTATTTCACACGGACACAACTAATTAAGGAAGAACGTACTCCACTTCATTATATGCTTCATTTTCTTCAATATTAGCTGAGCGTTTTTGATATGGACGGTGGCGCGATCTTCGCTGCGAAAACCTGCCTTTGTGATGATGGACTTACTACAGATAAAGCATTTTGGAAAAAGAAAAAAAAAAGAAAGAAAGCACAACAAAAAAAAAAATCAATATTTTGATGATTAATAAAAAACGAAAAAAATATTCCCTCCATATTTTAATATATGACGCCGTTGACTTTTTATCTAATGTTTGACCATTCGTCTTATTAAAAAAATTATGTAATTATCATTTATTTTATTGTGACTTGATTCATCATCAAATGTTCTTTAAGTATAACGTAAATATTTTTATATTTGCATAAAAAATTTGAATAAAACGAATGGTCAAATGTTAGTTAAAAAGTCAACGGCGTCATACATTAAAATATGGAGGGAGTAGTACGGAAGAAAATTGCACAGGACTCCAGTCCTTTACTCATCCGAAGGACCGTGCTTCTTTCCGTGACACCTGTCCGTGAACGTCTCCGACATGTCCAGCTTCTCCTTGCCGTCGGGGAACCGCCACCAGTCGAACAACGAGTGCACCAGCTGCAGAACAAGTTGTGGACGAACACCTTTGCCAGCGCAGTCCAGCACTAATTAATGTGTTCTAAAGCAAGAATGTGCAGGTAAGGTAGCAAAAGCGAGCTCAGAGCGTTAATCAGAATTCACAAGATAATAGTTACTCCGCAGTATCTGTTGCTGCCAAAAGCAAATCTCATCTCAGGTAACAAATCGATCGAGCAGGTCAAATTAATCAGAAGGAATTAATTATTGAGACCGGGGAGCAATGCATGAACGATTGGACGACGAGGTCGACAGCCACCGATCGGAACGAACCTGCGCCTGCGCGGCGACGGCCCAAGCCCATTATCAGTTTCTGCTGCTTCGGCCCATTAGCACAGCCCAAGCCCCTCTCAATCCAACCAACGACACGACATCATCGATCATGACTAGCGCGTTTCCTTGCGGATACGGCGGAGGCGCTGCCGGACGACGTGGTCGTCGACGAGATCCACCGTGCACCACCGTCCGCATCAAACGGCTCGGCGACGAAAGCTCGGAGGAGCAGCCGGCTTCCTCATGCGCCGCGGGCCGCGGCCGTGTCGTTCGTCTCGTTGCGGTCGCGATCCATGATCTCCGTCGTTGGCTTTTGGGACGGCGTCGGCCTCGTCACGGCCTCTCGTGGCCGCCTTCGACATGGCACGGGAGGAGTTCCGGCTGATGGAGACCCCTGAGCAATGGGCGGCGGCGTGCAGGCCCACGAGCTCGGCTGCGCGCGTAGTGAGAAGGATACACTGCACATCACCCGACATCGCGGCAAGCTGTGCGCCCTCGCCGACGAGCAGCTGGCGGCCGGCGCCACCGACGCGTTCGGGGGTGTGGGTGCTCGAGGACTACTCCGACCCAAGAAGCAGCTGGCGGCTCCGGTGGAAGATCGATTACTCTTGCGGCGCCGCCGGTGTCCTCGGTGGACCAGATGGTGCTTGATTCTTTCGCGCCCGCTTCTCGACAGCTGCTGTGGTGGAGGTGCTACCCGGCCGATGGCATCGATGGCGGCGAGGAGATCCTGCTCCAGCTCGTTTGCTGAGAGCAAATAGTTATAACGGCTAAATTGTACATGAGAGCAAATAGTTAGAACTCTTCCCAAACAGCTATAGCGGGAGATAGCGCAGTAATAGCGGGAGTTTTAAAACCCTGGTGTTTAGGCGTCCGGTTTTAATTAGCTCGTTTGCTGATAGGTTTGGTGTTTCGGATCCCTCTTTTCCCAACACTCCCAACTTGTTTTCCGCTTGTACGTTTTTCAAACTGCTAAACGGTGCGTTTTTTGTAAAAAGTTTTTATATGAAAGTTGCTTATAAAAATCATATCGATCTATTTTTTAAAAATAATTTACTAATACTTAATTAATCACACGCTAATGAACTGCTCTATTTTTCGTACGCACTATTCCTGTTCGGAACACCTCCTAGCGAACACACAGCTCGGTGTTGTCGTTTATCAGTCTAACTCTAATCGAATCGACGTACTATACCTTGCTGCTGCAGTGCTGCTTCGGCCCATCAAACTGATGACAGCCCATGCAAGCCCCAAGTCCCCCCACACTGGTTCGTACAATATACTACGAGATTTGCAACCTAATTAAGCTAACTATAGCGGTTTTTCCTCCCGGTGCCAATGGACTACGACGATCGGGAACGGCGGCGCGGGAGAAGGGCCCCCGGGGAGGCGCTGCCGGACGACCTGGTCGAGGAGATCCTCCTCCGCCTGCCGGCGCCGTCGATCGGGCGGTGCCGCGCCGTGTGCAAGGCCTGGCTCTCCCGCACCTCTCAGCCGGATTTCCTCCGCGCCCACGCCGCCCGTTCCTGCACGGCCACCGTCACCGCCGCGGCCACCGTGGAAACTAGAACGACGGCTCCCCGCGGAAGGTCGTGCACCACCGTCTGCGTCAGACAGCTTGGCCGCAAATGCTCGGGGGCGGTGGCTTCCCTCGCCGTGTCGTTCGTCTCGGCGTCGGAGCCGGGGCGATCCATGACAGTCGTCATCGGCTTTTGGGACGGCATCCTGTGCGCAGCGCACATACTGTTTGGCCCCGGAAGAGGCGTTGAGCGGTACGTGCTCTGCAACCCACTCACCGAGGCCTGCACCATCGTGCCGGCTCCGTCGACCGACGGCTTCCTCGTCGGCGGTTACGCCCACCCGACCACGTCGCGCTTCCACATCATGCACGCCAACTTCTTCACAACGATGGAGACCTTTTGGATCCTGCGGCTCGGGGAGAACAGCGTGTGGCGCGAGGTCCGCCGCCCTGCCCTCGCGACGATGAGGGTCTGTATTAAGTTCCTACATGCTCCGCCTGTCAGACTGCACGGCTGTCTTCACTGGCTGGCCTCGTCGGCCTCATCGGCACAGTTTCTCGTGGCCGTCTTCAACATGGAACGGGAGGAATTCCGGCTGATGGAGGCCCCCGGGGGGCAAGGAGTGCGCTTCGGCTCGCACTCGCACACGATGATGGGAATGCACATCACCCATTGCCACGGCAAGCTGTGCGCCCTCGCCGACGAGCCGGGCGCCAACGCGTTGGGGATGTGGGTGCTCGACGACTACTCCGACCCAACAAGCTGGCGGCTTCAGCGGAAGATCGACTACTACTACTCGTGCGGCGCCGGCGGCGCCGGTGCTGCTCTCGACGACGACCCACACGCCGCCGCCGCTCAAACTTTTCGTGCCCGCTTCTCGACAGCCGATGTGGTGGAGGTTCTGCCCAATGGTGTCGATGACGATGACGAGGGCGAGGAGATCCTGCTCCAGCTTGGTGACGAGGAGGTCGTGTACAATGTTGGGCGCGCGGCGTGGCGCAGGTGGGGGATATTGCCGCTGACTACACGCCGCCTGATGATGCATAGGCAGTGCATATTGCCGCGCGAGGTGAGCTTCGGTGACGCGTCTCAGGTTCCTTGGGAGGACATCGGCGGCCACTGTTTCTACCGCATATACTAGGGGGAAGTTTTTACTAGTATCATGCATGTAATTTAAATAGTTATATAAAAAATTTATAAAACTTGATAACATAGACTATGATAATATAAGATAAGTACTATGTAAACATGTAAGTCTAATAAATTCAATCGACATATGAACATATCTGTACAGGTACTATTCACTGTCTGATTTTATTATTTTTGTTTCTCTTGTTGTAGATCAAAATTAGTACTGCATGTTTGTGTATAGACTTATATAATCATAATCGATGTTACTAATTTTTTTTTAATTTTTTCTATAACTATTTAAGTCGCATGCGAATGTTGGGTGCCATGGCACCTAGGTGAACCATGGGTGTAGAAAATCCTTATCACATATACTAGTACTAGTTGGGCGGGCGTGCTGTATTTTAACCCTAGTCCTAAGATGGCCTTGTGTGTCTAATCAATTAGTTTTGTTGAAAAAATTTTTTTGAGAGAGATTTGTTTGAAATTATTTGACTTTTTTTACGAGATTTGCTTCAAACTACCTAATACATGTACATGATTTTATCCTTCAAAAACAATATTTTAGACTCAAAGGTGGATTAATCCTTCGAAAACAACCTAAAAAGCTCATGCATGCACTGGTGGAGAAACCATCTTTCGTCGGTCGGCCGATTTCCACAGTAGTCCCGGATGCAATAAAAACCGGGGCTAAAGATGTTCTTTAGTCCCGGTTCAAAAGGGTAACGGGCATATTTGATCTTTAGTCCCGGGTTGTGTTACCAACCGGGACTAAAGATGATCTTTAGTCCCGGTTCGAATGCTGTCAGGGTCTGTCAGGCCCTCCCGGTATCTTTAGTCCCGGTTGATAACACCAACCGGGACTAAAGATGTTAACTTTAGTCCCGGTTGGTAATACCAACCGGGACTAAAGATCCCGGTGATCTTTAGCCCCGGTTGGTGCTACCAACCGGGACTAAAGTCCCACCCCTATATATATGTCTTCTTCCTCCTCCAGCTGCCCGAGCAAGCTTCAAAATTTCTTCAAAAAAGAGGGGAGGTCATGCCAAAATTTCTATTGAATTTATTTTGGTGATTACATACAAATCGGAGGTGCCTAAAAGGTTTGCAACTTCATCCTCCAATGTTTTTTTTGTCATACTACATTTGCACCTATGTTTTGCACACTTTTTTTGTCTCCAAAATGTAGTTGTAAGTTGATGAGAGAGAAAATGTGTGTGGGGAAGAAAGAATATATAGAAATTTAGTTCATTTGCTAAATAAGGTTTTATAAAATAGTTGAGAAGGAAAACTCTAGTGAAAGTTAATCTTAAATAATAGAAAACAAACTAAAATGAAAATTAAAAGAAGTAAAACACATTAAAATTAGTTTATTACTTAACAAATAGTTTTTAAGAATTATTTGGTGTAATATTTTATGATTTTTGTATGAATAAAGATATCTTATAATTATTGTATGACTGTCATTATTGTAAGAATAATTATTTGTGTACGGTTTTTTTGACTCATATAGATGGATCGGCAATGGATGTACGCTGACCGGCGGTCCAAAGAGTTTATTGACGGCGTGCACTATTTTTTGAGAGTGGCCGAAGCTAACAGGAAAAGGGGTTTTATTTGTTGTCCATGCAATAAGTGTAAGAATCAGAAGGAGTATTCTGCATCCAGGACTATTCATTTCCACTTGTTTGAGTCGGGGTTCATGCCAAGCTATAATTGTTGGACATCCCACGGAGAGCAAGGTGTTGAAATGGAAGAAGATGAAGTGGAAGACGACAATATTCCGGACTTTGCTCAATTTGTTGGATTTGAAGGAAATCAAACGGGCGAGGAGGAAATAGCTGCTGATGGTAACGACGTTGCGGATGATCTTGGTCAAATGTTGCAGGACGCCAGGGAGGACTGCGAAAGTGAAAAGGAGGCCCATAAATTGGACAAGATGTTGGAGGACCACAGAACTTCGTTGTACCCAGGTTGCGAGCAGGGGCACAAAAAGTTGGATACCACTCTGGAGTTGTTGCAATGGAAGGCAAAAAATGGGGTTAGTGACAAGGCATTTGGCGATTTATTGAAACTCGTCAAGAACATTCTTCCGGGGGGAAACAAATTGCCCGAGACAACGTACGAGGCTAAGAAGATAGTCTGCCCGTTAGGACTGGAAGTTCATAAGATTCACGCATGTCCGAACGATTGTATCCTATATCGCGGTGAGGAGTACGAGAACCTAGAAGCATGCCCTGTTTGCAAAGCACTACGATACAAGATTAGACGGGACGATCCAGGAGAAGTTGACGGGCAGCTAACAAAGAAGAGAATTCCTGCTAAGGTGATGTGGTATTTCCCTATAATACCACGGCTAAGGCGTTTGTTCAGGAACAAGGGGAATGCTAGAATGTTGCGATGGCACGCTGAAGAGCGTCAACAGGACGGGATGCTGAGACACCCCGCCGATGGTTCGCAGTGGCGAAACATCGATAGAAAATTTAAAGAATTTGGAAAGGACGCACGAAACATACGGTTTGGTTTGAGTACGGATGGCATGAATCCTTTTGGAGAGATGAGCAGCGGCCATAGCACTTGGCCCGTTACGATGTGTATCTACAACCTCCCCCCCTGGCTATGCATGAAGAGGAAGTACATAATGATGCCGATTATTATTCAAGGCCCCAAGCAACCTGGTAACGACATCGACGTGTACCTAAGACCACTGGTCGAGGATCTTAAACAGTTGTGGAAGAAGGAAGGTGTCCCCGTGTGGGACGAGGACAAACAGGAGGAGTTTAACCTACGAGCGCTGCTGTTCGTAACCATCAACGATTGGCCTGCACTTAGCAACCTATCCGGACAGTCCAACAAGGGGTACAAGGCTTGCACTCACTGTATGGATGAAACAGAAAGTACGTATCTTAAGCACTGTAGGAAGGTTGTATACATGGGTCATCGTCGATTCCTTGCAGCAAACCACCCGGTACGGAAGAAAGGCAAGCACTTCGAACATAAGGCCGACCACCGTACGAAGCCTAAACATCGCAGCGGGAAAACAGTGTTTGCTATGGTTAAAGATCTTAAAGTAGTGTTCGGAAAGGGCCCTGGAAGCCAGCATATAGAGAGCGAAGATGGTCACGCGGCGATGTGGAAAAAGAACTCTATATTTTGGGAGTTACCATATTGGGAATTCTTGGACGTACGCCACGCAATCGACGTGATGCACCTCACTAAGAACCTTTGCGTAAACCTTCTTGGCTTCCTAGGTGTATACGGAAAGTCGAAAGATACACTGGAAGCACGTAATGATCTGAAGCATATGGAACAACGCGGCGACCTTCACCCGGAACCAAAGGAGAAAGGAAGCCATTACTTGAGTCCAGCCAGCTACACTCTTAGCAAGGCAGAGAAGGAAAGTATGTTTGAATGCTTGGAGAGCATAAAGGTACCGTCTGGATACTCCACGAATATCAAGCGAATAATAAGCACGAAGGAGAAGAAGTTCACAAACCTAAAGTCTCATGACTGTCACGTGTTGATGACACAACTGCTACCAGTTGTAATAAGGGGTATCCTTCCAGACAATGTCCGGGCAACAATAACAAAGCTATGTGCATTCATGAACGCAATTTCGCAGAAGGTCATCGATCCGGATAGATTAGATGCCCTTCAGAATGAAGTGGTGCAATGTCTCGTCAGTTTTGAGTTGATATTTCCACCTTCATTTTTCAATATAATGACACATCTGCTTTGTCACCTTGTGAAAGAGATCCGTATTCTCGGGCCTATGTACCTACACAACATGTTTCCTTTCGAGAGGTACATGGGCGTTCTGAAGAAGTATGTTCGTAACCGTGCTCGTCCAGAGGCAAGCATCGCCAAGGGTTATGGAACAGAGGAGGTCATCGAATTTTGCGTAGAATTTATCGAAGACCTTCGCCCAATCGGGGTACCGGAATCACGCCATGAAGGGAGACTACGGGGAAAGGGAACTCTCGGAAGGAAAGCAATTATGACGGTAGACAACAATTTATTCCGTAAAGCCCATTTCACTGTTCTGCAACACTCTTCATTGGTAGCTCCTTACATCGAGGAGCACTTGGCTCTAGTTCGCGCCAGGAACATCGGTAAGTCCGATGTATGGATTACACGGCATCACATTGATACTTTCCCCGCGTGGCTACGACAACATCTCATGGGTAACGAGTCGATCAACCAACAACTTGCCTTCCTGGCGAGGGGACCGTCTGGGTCGATCGCGACATTCCAGGGATATGAGATCAATGGGTACACATTCTACACGAGAGCCCAAGACATGAAGAGCACGAACCAAAACAGCGCTGTTCGTGTCGATGCCATGGGACACGATGGAACAACTGCCACGTATTACGGTGCCATCGAGGACATATGGGAACTTGACTATGGTCCTCTCAAGGTTCCTCTGTTCCGGTGCCAATGGGTTAGGTTGACTGGTGGAGGCGTAATGATTGATGACAGTGGGATGACAACTGTTGACCTTAACAAGGTTGGATACTCGGACGAACCTTTTGTCCTTGCCAATGATGTAACGCAAGTCTTTTTCGTGAAGGACATGTCTAGCAAAGGAAAGAAGGGCAGAGGGCCTGATGAGCCTAAGCGTCAAGTGGTTCTCCCAGGCAAAAGAAAAATCGTCGGAGTTGAGGACAAGACTGACGAGGATTACGATCAGTTGGATGGGCAACCCCCTTTCACGGTGACGATTGACCCTAGCATCCTCCTATCAAATGAAGACACCCCTTACTCACGCAGCGATCACAAGGAGGGAACAATAGTGAGGAGAAAGTACGTGCGGTCAACCGTCACCGCCGATGTAATGCCGTAATTATTGTGTACACGATGTAAACTATTTTGGATGTATTGATTATCCATATAAATCAATTGATGTATGGCATATGTTAATTACGCACGATTATTAGAGGTTTCAACAAGTTCAAATCATGTATATGCTAGTTATATGTGATACTTACAATTTTTAAAAGTTTTAAATCA